ATATATATATACATAACATTCTAATCGCCTCCCAGAAGAGGGCGAAGAAGTACTTGGTCTTGAAGTACCAAATTTAAGTGTGAAATTAGACAGGTAATGTGTTCACCTATGGTGATACAACTTTTCTTGGAAGTCGACTGAGCAAGCACGAACAACAGCATGTGATCAAGCCGAACTGATAGCATTATACGACAGTGATCGAGAGCGAGCGTGGTAGAGATTGCTGATGAATCTCATACAAGGAGCATATAATTTGAAAGAAATCAAGAAGAATGCTACGATTATATATAAAGATAACGCAACATGCATAGCTCAAATCAAGGAAGGCTACATCAAGGGAGACAGAACGAAGCAAATCTCAGCAAAGTTTTTCTCAACATCTGATCTGCATAAAGAAGGAGAGATCAATGTTCTTCAAGTTAAATCAAGCAAAATTTGGCGGACTTATTCACCAAATCTCTACCTAGACACAATTTTGAGCAACTCAGAAAGAAGATTGGACTTCGCAAGCTAAAAGAGATAAATTAGTTTGAGGGGGAGTATAATTTTATTTTGAGAGAAAATATTATACACGCTGTACTCTTTTTCCCTTAACTAAGTTTTGTCTCATTGGGTTTTCTTAGTAAGGTTTTTAATGAGGCAGCATAACTGATCCTGCAGTATCAGTTAATATAGGTCCTGAAGAACCTAGCCAACATTATCCAGTAGCATAATGTTGTTGGTGTATAATGCATGATGATATATCTGAGGGGGAGTGTTAAATATGGCAGATATATTTCTCATACTATTTAGAATATATTGTTTCCTTATTGAACTAGACTATACCTCTCCCCGTGTATGTATAAATACCCCCGTATATGATGAATAAACGACTAAGTTCACAATACTTAAAAAATTATGTGGCCCATACTTGTTTTCTTTTTCTTCTACACAAATTATTACCAAACACAAGCTTTATTTAAATAAAAACCACTTGATCCAATTAAAAAGATCATTATGGGATAAAGAATGTAAATCACAATTTTTATGTATTTTAAATTAATATTTCTATGTGTTTTTTTAATTAAAGCATGATTGAACTACATATTTTCTCCTTTTTTAAAGTACACATATTATCTGTTTCTCGAAACCCTTTTCTATTATTCTTTTCTTAGATATTTCAAATAATCTTATCCTATTATAATTTTGATTCATCATAACTTATATTCTAGAGTACTTTCAGACAATATGAGAATTGAGAATGACACTGAACTTGACATTATTATTATTATTATTATATCACATTAAGTAGTCATTTGCATCTTTTGCCCAAGTAGTCACTATTACACATCTTTAAGGTGCAATAATACTCCACATAATATCGTGGTGAACAACTATCTAATTTAAAATCAGAATCGGTTTTTGAATTTGAAGCGGAAATAGAGTTTCGATTACGTCCCTCCATTTTGGGAACCAAAACCAATAGTTCATATTTCGGTCCCATTTCTATTTTTCTTATATTAAGACAAAATTTTAATTTTTTTAAACACCAATTCACAATATCTACTAGAAAAAATTGAAGCATAAAGTATAATACTTCAAAAATACCAACTTTTTCAAAATAAATATGAACTGCATCACGATTATTCAGCTTAGGGATCTATTCCTACGAATTTTACATACCAAAATCAAATCAATATTGTGTTCATGTTTAATATTATAGATTATGTCACACCCCAATATGTCATTATTGACGTCACACTCCAATAGATTTTTTTATTTTTATTTTAGGAACACTCCAATCGAGTATTAAAATAAATTTTTCCTTTTAAAAAAGTAAGGTAAAGAACACATTTTTTAGGGGAGGCACAGAACAAAAAAAAATAGTGAAAGCAAAGACTACAAAATAGAGAGTTAATTCCCTCAAAAAAAAAACAGAGTTAACGGCAGTGGAGTTCAACGTTAATGTTCCTGTCAGGACCTTCAACTGAAAGCTCCTTCCTCTCTCTCTCTCTCTTGACTCTTTGTCCAGTGGAAGACCTCCGTTTCTCTCTCATCTCTGCACCTTTTTCTCTCTCTAGAAAGCATTTTCACTTTACCCCTTCACTTTCTCGTCCGTGTTTCATTTTGGCCAAATTTTCTTGCAACCCCACTTACTGAAGACTTGGGAGGACCACCGGCCGGCGTAAAGATCGAAGCTTTCCGGCCTCCATGGACAACCGCCGGCCGCCGCCAACATTTCCCGGCTGAAATTCTGACGCAGTTTCTTCCTCGGGTATTTTGATTGGTGGGCTGTTTTGATTTTTTTTGAAGAAGAAGGAGAGATTTGGTGGTAGATGGCGGAGGAGAATAGCGGCTCGGCGGCGACGCAGGTGGGGCGGGGCCCCGGCGGCAGGATGACGGAGGAGGAGGCGCACAAGAGGTACGACGGGCTGATAACTGTACGGAATAAGGCGATAAAAGGGAAGGGGGCTTGGTACTGGGCTCACCTTGAGCCCATGTTGGTCAGGAACTCCGACACCGGAGTACCGAAAACCGTGAAGCTCCGGTGCACATTGTGCGACGCCGTTTTCTCCGCCTCCAACCCTTCCCGGACCGCCTCCGAGCATCTCAAGCGAGGGACTTGCCCCAATTTCAGCTCCCTCGTCAAGCCTATTGCCTCTCTCCCGCCTCCCCAGCAGCACCCGCAGAATCACCGGAAACGCAACTCCTCCGGCGGAAATCGCGCCGCCGGGAACACCTCTGCCTCGGCGAACTACGAAGTCCCCCCTCCTCTCCCCATCGTTGACCAATCGAGATTCTTGCCGGAGCTTTCGTACCCGCCCATGTCCACACCCGTCCCCGCTGTTTCTTCCTCCTCCGCCGCACACGGCGGCCCCGGAATGTTCACGCAGCACCATCCCCCGCCGCATATGGTGTTATCCGGCGGAAAGGAGGATTTGGGAGCTCTGGCGATGCTCGAGGACAGCGTGAAGAAGCTGAAGAGCCCCAAATCCTCGCCGGCCGGGCCCACACTGAGCAAAACCCAGATTGATTCCGCCTTCGATCTCCTCGCCGATTGGGTCTACGAATGCTGCGGCGCCGTCTCCTTCTCCAGCCTCGACCACCCCAAATTCAGGGCTTTCTTGAATCACGTCGGTTTGCCCCCAATTTCAAGGAGAGAACTCGCCGGTTCCAGATTGGACGCCAAGTACAACGAAGCCAAGGCCGAATCCGACGCCAAAATCCGAGACGCCATGTTCTTCCAGCTCGCCGCCGACGGCTGGACGGGGAAGAAGAAACAGGGAGGGCATTTCGGGGAGCCGAATTTAGTAACCCTATCCGTGAACCTCCCAAACGGAACCAGTGTGTTTAGAAAGACGGTTTTGACCTCTGGCTATGTGCCTTCCAAATACGCAGAGGATGTTTTATGGGACACTGTCACGGAGATTTGTCCCAATAGTGTCCATCAATGTGTGGGCATTGTTGCAGACAAGTTCAAGTCAAAGGCATTGAGGAACTTGGAGAGCCAGCATCAATGGATGGTCAACATCTCCTGCCAGTCCCAAGCATTCAACAAACTGATCAAAGACTTCGCAAAGGAGCTCCCTTTCTTCAAGAACGCCTCCGACAACTGCGCCCGCCTCGCGAACTTCATGAACAGCAAGTCGCAGGTCCGGAACGCGCTCCTCAAGTACCAGGTGCAGGAGTACGGGCACGCGGAGCCCCTGCGGGCCCCGCGCGAGAGCTCGGACTTCGAAATGGCCGTCTCGCTGGTCGAGGACGTGCTGAACTCGACCAAGGCGATTCACCTCGCCGCGACCGACGAGTCGTGCAAGTCGTCGTTGCCGTCCGAGGTCGGGGATTTGGTGAGGAACCCGCGTTTCTGGATCGAGCTCGACGTGGTCTATTCGCTTGTGGACGTGGTCAAGACGATGGGCCGGGAGATCGAGGCCGAGAAGCCGAGGGTCGGGCAATGTCTCCCTCTTTGGGAGGAGCTAAGAGTGAAGGTGAAGGAGTGGCGCTCGAGGTACCACGTTGCCGAGGGACCCGTGGAGAAGATCATCGATAGAAGGTTCCAGAAGAACTACCACCCCGCGTGGGCCGCGGCGTTCATTCTCGACCCGCTCTACTTGGTCCGGGACTCGAGCGGGAAGTACCTCCCGCCCTTCAAATGCCTGACGCCCGACCAAGAGAAGGACGTCGATAGGCTCATAACGAGGCTCGTGTCCCGGGAGGAGGCCCACATCGCGCTGATGGAGCTGATGAAGTGGAGAACCGAGGGGCTCGAGCCGGTCTACGCGCAAGCGGTCCAACTGAAGCAGAGGGACGCGGCGACGGGGAAAATGAGGCCCGCGAACCCGCAGAGCTCGAGGCTCGTGTGGGAGACGTACCTCGCCGGGTTCAAGTCTCTGGGGAAGGTCGCGGTTCGGCTCATCTTCCTCCACGCCACCTCGTCAGGGGGCGGCGGCTTCAAGTGCAACTGGCCCCTCACGAGGTGGGTGGGTGGGGCCCAGTCCCATTCGAGGGCGGCAACGGACAGAGCCCAGAAGCTGATGTTCGTTGCCGCTCACTCGAGGACGGAAAAGCGCGGGGAGTGGGCGAACGACGAGGAGAGGGACGCCGAGCTGTTTTCGCTAGCCAACGGCGAGGACGACGTGCTCAACGAGGTCTATGTTGATACATCTTCTCTTTAGGAGTAACGCTGGCTGGTTGGTTGGCTGGTGTCTTCTTTGTATTCATTATTATTATTAGCCCCTATTCTTTTTTTGTTCAATCTTTGGATTCAGAAGCAGTTTTTTTTAGGCCATTTTCTGTGAAGTTGCAGACGTGCAGGGACATTTTTTTTGTAACTTATTTTCTCTTTGAAATTCTTGACTATTTAGTTTGGAATTGTTACATATTTCTATTGATTGGGGAAGGGTTTTTTTGTTCCCTTTGTTTTGCCCTTCTGTTTTATTGTACTACACACACTATTCACACTCACACAAATGCTTTGGTCTGGTCTGAAAATATTGATGATAGATTTTGTTCAATTGACTAGGGCGTGTTTGGCTAGAGAAAAAGAAAAGTTTAGAAACAATACACTTGAGGACATTGTAATAAAAGTCATGAATATATAGTACATGTGCAACCAAAGAGTGACATTGATGGGATACAAATTGAACCCCAAATTGGTTTGTGTGCACAAGCAGCCAAGAAAGACATGACCTGACTTGACTGGTCAAAACCACCATTGAGTTTTGACATGGCCAAATTAAAACTCCATCTGTCCCCATAGATCTTCCCAATAGCCCCTTTTCTTTGTCCACAATAGATCTTCTCATTTCATTTTTTAACAATTAAAATACCACAACTACCCCCACTTACTTTATTTATTACACCTCACCCACCTCATTTAATACACTCCACCCATTTTTCATTAAGGGTATTATGGTAAACTTTCACCTTTTTTCAACTCTCCTTAAAAACCACCAAAAGTCAAAATGAGAACATCTTAGGGGGACGGAGGGAGTATCATTCCATAAAATTCTATCNTAGATCTTCCCAATAGCCCCTTTTCTTTGTCCACAATAGATCTTCTCATTTCATTTTTTAACAATTAAAATACCACAACTACCCCCACTTACTTTATTTATTACACCTCACCCACCTCATTTAATACACTCCACCCATTTTTCATTAAGGGTATTATGGTAAACTTTCACCTTTTTTCAACTCTCCTTAAAAACCACCAAAAGTCAAAATGAGAACATCTTAGGGGGACGGAGGGAGTATCATTCCATAAAATTCTATCCATTTTGTTAGGAAACAGTCGACACTCTTCAAAAAATGAGTCTTTTTCGGATGTCTAAAAACAAAATTCCTCGTTCATTTTGTTCTCTTTTCTAGCTACATACATGTTTTATACATTTGTTGATTTTTCTTAAACTTAGAAAATATAAAGCGAGTAAATTTTTTTTGGGACGAAAAGAGTAAAAGTTAAATTAACAACAAAAAAAAATTGTGAGAGAGGGGGGTAAAGTGGGAAAGGATCCAATAAAGGAGATGATTCAAAAAATTTCCATCTGAGCGCATTTGGACAAAAAGGCTTAGGAGAGGGCTATAAAGCGGGTGGTTTATACTAGATTTTGCTGTCATGGGGACTACCCAAAAGTAAAAATACAAATAAAGATTTAACCAAATCTTTTTTTTTAAAGCTGGAAGACCACTTCAAACTGCCCGTGTCCCCCCCTCCCTAAATTATTACCATGGCGATTTGAATCTTTTGACACCGGTTTTCGATGTTATAATATGACACCGATTCATTTGTTACTTTGTAAGTCTTATATTTGAAGAGTCATGATATGACACTGGCTCTAATGTTTTATATTATGGCTTCCAAAATATAGATTATTAAAAAAACGGTAAGGTTCCCAAAACATTGTCTGCTTATATCATGGATGACTCGGGAGTGCTCTGGTGCCCCATTCGTAAAATTGACGGTTCCTAATTCCTGTAACCCCCGGTAAACCCCCCACCCCGTCCCAACCCGAACACCCCCTTCAATTGTACCTCACAAGTTGATTTTGACTTTGGAGTCAAATTTTGGTATCATATTTAAAAGCTAAAGGACCTTTGGTATAATATTTAAAATTCTGGTTAAATTGGAACAATTTTTGAAGAATTCAAAGATAAATAGGACAAAAACGTCAATGTGACACTTGAAGAGTTCTAGTATACCAAGGCCAAACACAAAATTAATTTTAAGATAATTATCACACAAAGCTTCTCTGACAGCAAATATCAAAGGAGGCCTGAATAATGTGATTTATTAGGTCTCCCATAGGGCCCATGGGAAGGGGCCATCTGTGGGCTAGACAAATGTTGATTTTAATTATGCCATTCTGGTGAAGGGGTGGTGTCCTACGGTGGGAGTAGTGGAAGTCACTTTCCAAGTTTTGGTTGTTATGAGGAAAGAGGAAAAGGGCATTAATTATGTTACTCTCCAAATCATCTTAGTACTACTTCCTCTTCTTCTTTCTCTACTTTACAAAAAAATAAAAAAATTAAAACAGCATTTTGTTTGCTTGGGTTACATAATTATGTTGGTTAATTAGAGATTTCATATGAGGTAATATTCGATTTCGATTAATGGTGAAAGAAGATCATGCGTAACATGTAGTTTTTGTAGTACAAGTGCGACAGATCTCACTCTCTATTAATTAATTAAAATTAAAGTACAAATTACCTCAGTGCGTACTATTGTCTGAGACGGTCTTATGGGAACCTAAGATGAAGTCATGAAGTTATAAAACAAAAAGGGAAGACTTTGTTTGAATAGTCATTCAACATGAAATACCTCCTTATAATGCCAGACAAATTCTTCCGCGGTGCTAAGGTCTACACTATGTCATGGTCTTTCGTATATAAACACTATGTATGAATTAATTCTTTTGAAAAAATAAAAGATTCATATGTCGACCTACTAAAAATGTGAGGAAGTCTGCCTTCCAATGTACATGTGAACTTTAGAATCATAGAAACACAATTGTATATGCAAAGATTACAAGTCACATAACAATTTTAAGAGCAATAGATTTCTAACACTTTGTATGAGAATAACGATGACAATTAAATGGTACTCTCGGTTTCAAATTAGTTTACAATTTCCACATTACTTCCATATTACGAAATAAAACTTTATTTTTTTAAATTATTGGAATTACAAAATTTACGTATTCAAAACAACATCAAAAATCTAATGTAGTTCAAATGGTGATGTGGAGGTAGATAGTCATGGGGGATGATGCATCCCATGATTGTGAAAAAAAAGTAGGGAGGACCCCAAAGGGAGAGGGCAATGTCGGTATGAAGCAACACAAAAGATGCTCCATAGTGATTTGGCAGCGCAGATTGACTATTGTTGCATATTAACTTTATGTACTGGAAATGCATCATTACTGACTATTTGGCTCCCAATTTACCTTCTTGCCATCGCCTTCTTTTCATCTCTCAATCATTGCTCTCCCATGACTCCTTGGTTAAAATAAAAAGAGTCCTGCTAGGGTAGGTGTACCTTGGTGGTGTTCATCATCCTTGTCACAGACACACACAGACATTACATGTCTGTGTGAAAATTTTTCAATGATAACAACTTGGAGTTGACCGTTGATTTTTTTATTTTTCCAAAAAAAATATTTTTAATTAACATTATTTTAAAATTAGTGAAAAATTAAAAAAATAAAAAATTTAATTTTAGACTGGATAGAGTAACAAAACCGACCAGCTCCTAAGGATAGTTACTTCGAACTTGAAACAAAATAAATTTACAGAACGATTGAGAAAAGGTGAAGCACGCACCTGGTACCTGGTACTTGCAAATATACTATATGTTTACCATTGTTTCTCACTATTTATATTCCTAAGGCAATTGTCGAGAATTGAAGTCGGGTTTATGACCATTAGCACCTCTTACGCAACTAGCTGGGTAGTGGCAATTTAGTTGATAGAGAATGAAGTTATGTCCATATAGTATTTGTACAGAATCTTATGTTGTTTCTTTTGCCTAGAATCAGTTCTTTGAAAGCTCTCATAACAAAAAAGAATGGACCTTCTTAAAATTCTATTGTGAAGTTGGTTTCTTTTGCCTTTTGTTACCTTTATTTGTGATTTGTCTGAGTTGCAGAACCAAAAGCACATATCTTTACTTCTTTCCACTTTTGGCCTAAAATTCTGCTCACGTATGTACATTTACAATGCTACTCTCTTTGTACTTTGTTTATTCCTATTTACACCTTTAACAAACAATAGTTAGGAGTTCCTAGATTTGATTTGCAAAAAACGTTTACGACTAACGTTTATATTCAAAACAGTTTTTTGATGGTGCATATTAAAAGATGCTAAAATTGTCTCCAAATAGACATAAAATCTAAAAGTCATAGTACAGAAACCTTTTGCCTAAAGTACTTCATCGGAAGTTGAGGAGAAAATCAATATGTTTATAAGTTATTGAGTTGAAATAGTTAATTCATTAGATTCAATCTTTTAATGTGATTTGATCATGATATGATTCACATCGAATCATAATTTGGCCTACCACATTTGTTAGATGTTAGACATTTATTCCTAGATGCCCTAGTCAAGAGCCCAATAGTTCATATGAAATACATACCCAGTAACACCCCATGACCATTTAGCATGATTGTTCGTCTGAAAATCTTAACCCAGCGACTTGCGTTCCTTTAGATGTTCAAACATTCATTTTAAGGGGATGAGAATCCAGTTGCAAATGGTCAACCGGTTAATTAAAAAAGCTATTTATCCACTTGAAGTGCAATATTAGAATCTCACAGCCGTTTTTTAGAGAAAAATCTATGAGTTTATAAATTTTTAACTTGCACAATTGTACTAACTATTTGATTAGATTTAATTTTTTAAATGTGTTTCAAATCAAATATCTTATGATCTAGCCTAAAAATCCGCTATACATACCCTATTTTAAACATCTCATCACTTCCTTAAATACATCAAACATCTCAAGTCTAAGCAGTCAATAGATGAGTCCAGCTATGAGATCGATCCAAACGAGGCTTTGTAATTTTTACTCGGGGTAGAAATGAAAGGTACGATGTAGCCAGAGACAATGTTACTGCGACCATTTGTTTTTCATCCAATATGGAAAAGGATGTGTACATATTTTTACCGCACTATTTGTTTACCCATTCCCTTTATTAGGTAAAGCATTTAGAGGATGCACCAAATACCCATCCCTCCTCCTACCACTTCATAGAATGGTCCCCTGTCTAATCTCTATAGTATGTAATATAGGCTAATAAGTGATCATGTTCTCAATCATCAAATGGGAGAACCATATTTGGAACCTTATGCCGATGGTTTTAGGTTTATTTAGAAATTGATGATTCTATTGGAGGCATACTCTAGATGACTAAAATGGGATGCAAGATGGCAATGTTCGGAATCGATTAATGACAACGACGATATATATATATATATATCTTTTCACGTGCTGGACACTGTCATTTTTTTATATCTATGGGGCTAATATTATAGTTCAATTTATATTCCTCGAAATGCATTTTCGGTCGGTCTTGAAGGATCCTGGGATGATGCTCATCCTTTTTTTTTATGAAATTGGTGACTCTGATTCATTATCGATATTCACCATCAATGCTTTTCTAACGTTCAACTTGTTTTGAATTTTAATTGAAACGAATGGCATACTGCGGTGTAATTCTTAGCCGGTGCTCTACCCGTTCTCAATTTCCACTTTTGGACCGTTGACTCGATCTCATTCGATTAAATTTTGGATTAGAGAAGTGTCGATATATCTATTCTCAAGTGGCTTAGTTTGGGGAGGTGTATATCATTTATTTGTTCCTTCGAAAAGATTCTAATGACATGGAAATCTCATGCCATTCTATAACATGGGCCTCAAATGGGTGCCTACGAACGATACTCTGTATGTAAAAATGATAGTTCCTACGCTACATAAATCCTCCGACAAACCATCAGTTTGCCTCGACCCGAACCCACACCCCCACCCCACACTCTCCAAAGAACCCTCCAAATTTATTTGACCTTGGAGTAAAAATTTTGATCCCTAAGTCAAATAAATTTGGAGTTGCAATTTAAGGAGGTGAGGGGTAGGCTCGGATCGGGGCGGGATGGGAGGGCTTTTTGGGACTTGGGGAGATGAGTGGAGGTAGAAATTTTCAATTTTTCAAACGAGACACTGTAGGGACCTGGGTCATCATATGACATTGTTAAACAATGTCAAGAGAATCGCCTCATTTTTTGTTCCATAATTTTCTTTTTATTATTGTTTTTTGCTTGTCCAAATTTCTTTTCTAACCAGTCTACGATTCCTAGGGTCTTCCTAGAATTCTCCAGGACGATAATTTTGAATGATTTAAATTAAAATTTAATCTTAGCTTCAATAATGAGTGGATATGTACAAGAATCACATCCAACGCATGATCGACCTTGATTGTCGTTATCAACAGTCGAACATGAACATTATCTCTTTACACTTTTATTGACCAACTAACGTATATATAGTACCTCCAAACAAAAAATATAAAATTGATTTGCGATGTTGACATGAAAAAGTACAATAATAAGGAAAATGGAGAATGAAATAGGGGCAAAAGGTGAGTGGAGGGGAGGAGGAATGGAGCGAGGAACAATGGCAATTGAGAGTTGAGGTGTAAGAGCAGTATGTGTAGAGGTGGTGCATTAATGGCACACATTAGGGAGGGCCTGCCCCCATAATAATGTCTCATAGTCCTATGAGACACAAACTCTCTTGTCGGCATGGCATTTGTTTTATACTCTGTCCACATACATATACTTCCCAAACTCACACTCACCCTCCTTTGGGCTTAGCTCTAGATAGGGCTACACATTAAACACAATTCCCTATGTTTGAGTAACATCAACGTAACTTAATTGGTCAATAAGAATTGTAAAAGGAGGTAACATTTAAATTTGATTCAAACGTTTTCATATATTAAGGACCATTTATATAATATGTTAAAATTGAGGATTACATATAAAAAATCATACTCCCCCGCCCACCAAAGGTCTTCACGTTACGTGTTACGTGATTTGACCGATTTTATTTTAAATTTAATTTATTTGATTATAGGAGCAAAATTTGAAACTAATATATATATATATATATATATATATATATATATATATTGGTTCTAGTAAGAATACAATCTTAGGAGAGAAATGAGAATGAATTTGGTGCTTTAGATTGTGAGATCTAAGGGTCAAGATTTCATCAAAATTAGATGCACCAAAATGGTGCGAAAATGCATCACGTCGAAATGCACCATAAACCTTCGAAAATGCACTATCTCAAAAGCAGGATGCAATCTGAGCCGCACGATGCATCAGATCCGACGGCTAGATTTTATTCTCATTTCTCTCCACAAGGTGCATTCTCACGGGAACCAGCCCATATATATATATATATATATATATATATATATATATATATATATATATATATATATATATATATATATATATATATATATATATATATATATATATATATAGTAAAAACTTTATGAAACATTCTACAAAACTAGAGGTAACAAGACTACTAAGAATAATAGATGTATTAAGAAATAGAATACTATAAAATAATATTCTATTTGCTAATGCATCTATTATTCTTAATAATGACTATATTATTTTAAGATATTAGTATTAAAAATAAGCAAACAAAATCGGTTAAGTTTGACATTGTGAATATTATCTTGAAAGATATATGGCAAATGAATAGATTATGAGGGTGTTTGGCAGTGTGTTGTTTGTAATAATTTAGCTTCTGCTTTGAGTAGAAGTGATTTTACTCTGTTTGACATGTCAACTTCTGCTTTTCACCACCACTATTTTGTATATAGAACACCGTTTCGGAGAAGCAGATATGAGGTGCTTTTGCTTTTAGATTTTGTAGAAATCATTTTATTTATAAGTTAATTACTCCCAAACACCCTCATATAAGTAGAGACTATTTATAAAATATTTATTGATCAAGGGAGAGTATATACAAATTGGGCTCAAATAATGCTTTTCTGGACGTATGTGACCCACCGAAGAATGAGCCGCAAGAGTCCATCTAAATGTCCTGAATTACAATTTACAATTGAAACTAGCCCAACTAAAAAATTATTCTTTTCTAATTTTTTTAAAGTTATTTATTTATTTATTTTTTAAGGGTTAAGGTTATTTATTTAAATAAAACTAAAACGGAGAATTTAAGACAATGTAGAAGGAATATCTATACCATATACCTGAATGTATGCTTTTTCGCATACATCTCTTTGAATATTCATTTTTGAGTAATTGAATACTCATTTTCGAGTAACTGAATGTCTACTTATGAGTGTAATTGAACTTAAAATGATGAACATTCAGTTACTTGAAAATGAATATTTAATTTTTCAAAAATGAATATTCAGTGGCTGAAAAATGAGTGTTCAATTACTCGTAAATATATATTCACCGCAGATGTATGAGAAATATTGTACAATGAGTTGCATGGTATATATATTGAAGTATATAAGGATCAATACTTCATCTGTCTATGTCTAAAAGAATGTTACATTTCACTGTTCTAAAATTACTAGAATTTTTACTTTTTTTTAATGCTATTGACTCTATTACAAGGTAGTATCTGTTCATACTATTCTCAAGCTAATGACTAATGACGCACAAAGAGCCAATGCTGCTGCCTTCGCTGGGGCTCGAACCTGGGTGAACTTTCCCATGAATCCTGGGGAGTGGGCTTGCTACCACTCAAGCCAGGGGAGAAGTTCACTAGAATTTTTACTTATTTATACATTTTATTAATAATTTGATGAAATAAAATATTGTCATTTTTTATTTTAAAAAAAAACTTTTGACATACTCTATAGTATTTAAGTATGTAAATTATATTCTTTTTTTCTATACCAGTATTTAAATAAACAACCAATGCTAGATTTACCTCAAACATGGTATCTTAATTTGTATCCTAAAGGGTTATGTTCACCCACTTAAACTTTTATGATTCACATTGACATTTAATGTTAGTCAATTGCAAAATTTGGTACAATCATTTTGTAGGGAAATGTTTGGTCCACAAACTCAAACTTCACAAAACTCACAAACTTACTATTTGTGAACTTCAATAAAGAAAATTAAATAGTCTAAAATAATTTTAAAATGAGAATTTAAACCATAAATAGTAAGTTTGTGAAGTTTGTGATCATTCTGTTTGTAAACGTAACATTGCTCCATGTTGTATCAATATAAACCATCATATTTTAAATTTAAAATTTTAAGGTTAAAATATGGGAATATTGGAGCCTTTGGCGTGTTTTTTTTCCTTTTATATTCGAATTCCGAAGTCTGGACTCTGGAAAGTTCCTGCCGGAAAAACGTCAGCACCATCTCTAAATTCGCCACCTTCGGATCAATCCAATTCCGGATCTGATTCATTTCTAGCTTCTCACCATTTCTCGCGAATCTCTGCTTCAATCTTTCTTCTACACAGGTAACCTGCTAATAATTTCTGTTTTCTTTCACCCATCTTCATTCTCGCGCCTCGATTTCCAGCGTCCTTTCCTATTTCAAATTCTCCTGCTCTTTTTTTCTGGTACAATTAAGATCTCGTCATTGATTGTTTTGCAACACGGATGCTGCATAAGGATGTGATTTTTTTTTTCGTTTTATGATTTTAATGTAGGAGAGATTAGGGTTTAGAGGACTTGGAATTGCAGAAATATGTGATCTTTGCATGTGAAATAGCTCTAGGTTATTTTTTATTTAAATGCTACTAATATTTATAATTAGTTGATCTGTTTGAGAGCATCCTTGGAAAGTTTTTGATGCATCATTTGGTGATTAATTCATCGAGGATGGGATGATGTGATTTGTGAACCGGATGATGTTATTGCACTCATACGGTTAAAGCAAATTATTGATCATCCTTGAAAAATGGTTATGCATCACTTGATGGTGATTGGTTGAGAGGATGAAATGTTTTATGAGTGTGTGATGTTGTTGAACTTTTAAATCAAATGATTGATCACATAGTACATTTTATTTGGAACAACAAATGACTAAAATCTAAAGGTAATTCTAACAAAAAAGTGAGCGATGCTTTAGCAACGAGCATGGGTGCTTCTTTATCCTAGAGCCTACCCTTATTTGTGCGATTGAGTCTTCAATTAGTTTTGATTGCTCTGTATTGTATTCAGAATAATAGTGAGTATATATTTCTCCCGGTACAATTGAGGAAATCAGTAAGGTTGATTAATTTATACTGTATTCCTGGACTGCGTATGGTTTTGAAATTTTGTTTTTCTAATCACATTTTAAATTGTAGAATAAATCAAGGAAAAATTGCTCAGGAATTTGGGGGGGGGGGAAGGAAACAAAATCTACAAAATGGCTAATAAATAAAAATGATACTTAGAACTTTAAAACAACTACAACAAAGCTTTATACTTAAAACTTTAAAGGTGTACATATTATGTGTTGAACAAGGTTTATAGACTAGTTTTCATAGGTTCCAGTCCCTACAAACGTTAATCATAGAACATATTTGGACAACAAAAGTACTCATCGAGACATGTTTTCTCATCAGTTGCATCAAAGTCATTTCTTTCAAGGTTGACTATCCCAATTTCTTCATTGATAGCATTGCTGCTTTGATTCAATGCATTTTATTTTAGATGTACATGTTTTGGAGTGAAATTTGAATGAACCTTGTCTGTAAATCTTTACGTCTTTCATTTCTGCTGTTTGGGTCACAGTTTCAACATACTTATAGTAGGCTTGTTTGACGTGCCTTATCTTTCTTGCCCCGTTGGCACTTGGCAGATCAAAAAAAGAAATGCAGGGAGGAAGAGATCCTTTCTCTGGCTTTGGAAACCTTTTTGGCGGTGGTTTTGGTCCTCATAGAAGCTTAATGTCAAATTTCTTTGGAGGGAAGGATCCTTTTGACGATCCCTTCTTCACACAACCATTTGGAGGCATGTTTGGGTCTGGCATTTTTGGGGGTGGTGAACAACAATTTATGGGCCCGAGTCAGGCTGGATTTCCAGAAGCAATGTTTTTTCCTCCTAGCAGAAGTCATTTTATGGGCTCACATCCAGTTGGATTCATTGAACAGCTGCCTGCTCAGCCCACTGGGTCTCAGGGGCCTATAATTGAAGAGTTGAATTCTGACGATGAGAACGAAGACAAGGGAACCAGTGAGAAAGGAAATCCTAGAAAGCACGGGAGATTGAGTGAAGAGCCTTTTGTTCAAGATCCAGATGACAAAACAGAAGGTGGCTAAGTGTTTTCTCTTTCATATCTCTCTTTTGACAAGTTCTGAACTGCACACAGAGTACTTATTGTATCATATTATTTATATCTATTGTACTACACTACTATGATAGAGCGGATGAGGAAGCAAATGCACTACGGGAATGAGTTTAGGCAGATGCAACATTTTCAACCACAGCCACAGGCTCAGAGCTTCTCTTTTCAGAGTTCGACTGTTACTTATGGTGGGGCTAATGGAGCATATTATACTTCATCTAGAACCAGGAGGACAGGGAGTGATGGTGTAAGTAAATTCATTGAACTTTTACCATTTTGTCCTACAATTATTATGTCATTTTAACAGTTTCTTATCTTCTACAGAATATTTTTTTCATTTTGGTACACTAATATGAATCTGTTGCTAGTTCAAGTAGTCTTTGTCCTTTCCTATTAAATGTTCAGTGATTTATACCCTATTTTCTTTTATTTTAATCCCCTCTTTGCTTGCTTGGAATGATAGTTGACGTTTGAAGAATGCAAAGAAGCTGATTCAGCCACAGGTAAAGCAAATCATAAGATTTCGAGGGGGATCCATGATAAGGTATCTTTCTTAACTTGGATGTTTTTTATGGTTCGTTTGGAACTCGGAAATTGTTAGAAAAACAAACTATGGACTAAAATAGTGGTGAAATTTGGAAGTAAATATGGGAGAAAATATACATTGCTTCAGACTCAATATAACAAGTTTAGAGATTTTCAGCACTCATTTTTGTTTAAATATTCCTACTACATAAAGACCATGAAATCTAAATTTAAAAAGTTATAATCAGTTTTGATTTCATTCTTAATTTTCAATGTACCAACTATCAAGCATCTAAAAACTATTTTACCTTTCAATTTCCTAGTTCCAAATATAGCCTGAGTATTTTCTGTATGTAGAATTCGATAAACGGGAACAACACTTGAATATATATAGGGTCATTCTGTCTTACGAAAGCTGAATTCAGACGGAAGAGTTGAAACAATGCAAGCTTTGCATAATATTAATCAAGGTATCTCCATCTGCACCTAATAGATTTCATTTGTTATACCAATCAGTTCATGAAATTCTAACTTGTAATTGGATCTTATAGATGAACTTCCAAGTTTCGAGGAAGACTGGAAGGGAAAGGCTAAAATGCATCTTCCTGGTTGGATGGGGGAAGGGTTTAATGCCAATGGGGCTATAGGTGAGTGAGTGTATTCTTGCTCATATGAGTTCTCTATTGTTCTTGCACACTGGCATCATTATTAATTCATTATGGACTTCTTATAGATTTGATTAATATGGTTCTATGAAGCAGTTTTTTGACATTCATTTTGATTTTGAATAAGAATAACAAAAAAATAAATTACTCCTGCGACATATGAAATGAGTTAATAGCAGAAAAACCCATGTTATAGATACTTCGTAAGAAAATGGTCATATAAAAATTTGCAAAACAGACCTTATGTAATTTTAAAGTTGCCCACTGCCTCCTGATGTTTGTTTTGAGACGTGTTTTGACCAATATCTACACTAATCCCAAATGAATTAATTGCACCAACAAAGAAGGAAGTGGAGAGATCTAATTTCAAATTGAGATCTGTTTTGTTTTATCCCTCTTCTTGTAGATGATGAAGACACCATTGTTTTGTAGAGAGAAGTAAAACAATTTCGGGCTTTGATATTACGAAGTATGATTTATCTAGACCTAAATTAGAGTACATGGCGAGGGAGGGGGAATCTACACAAAAAATAGTCCGTTTTGCAGTCTTCATGCTTGGAGTCAAGCAGCGTGATTATTTCTTTTTCATTTGTCTCATCATAGGGTTGTTGCCTGCATTTTATCCCCTAATAAAATACTGTGTAAATCTTTGAAATTCTTTGTGTGCTTCTTGTGTTTGTGTTCTTCTTACTTTGTTCATGCTACTGTATTAGTTACTTTGTGTTTTTGTGTTTGAGCCAAAATTTCACCATTTTTTGGCTTTGAGGTGTGATGGAATAAATCAAAATGGATCTCTAAACTGTCTGCGCTTCTTTAATTAATGAAGTAGCAGTTAGTCAAGCAATGCAACTTTCGACGTTGAGCCGGGGGTCTCTTTGGAAACAGCCTCTCTACTTTCGAGTAGGGGTAAGGTCTGCGTACACACACCCTCCCCAGACCCTACTCTTGTGGGATTTAACTGGGTTGTTGTTGTTGTTGTTGTTGTTGTTGTGTTTGAGTCGGGCCTCTCCAGAGCCTACTATCTATGGGATTTTACTGGGTTTGTTGCAGGTGACATTGTTTATGCTTTTATGAAATTGAGAACTACATCGGAAAGTTTGGATGAACTGCTGTTTGAAATTGATTTTGTTATAGATTACAGAATGATCAAAAGTGTGTGGGCTGGAGTATATATTTGAATATTGAAGTTTTTAATTGTTTTGTGTTTGTGTTGTGTGGGTGGGGTGGCAGGAGGTGGAAGCAGCAGTGGTGGGGATAACAGGTTACCAAACAGAGGAGGGCTGGCACTTCCTTCAACAGAGAATATACCTCATCATCATCAGCCCACCAAGAAGTATGGCGGAGATGGAACCACGGCTGCTCAGAATGGGCAGAGGAAAGACCACAAGAGAGGCGGCAAGCGCGTCGGCTTTAGCAACTCAACTAAATAAAATTACCCCTCCGCGGCATGACGATGTCCCTCTTATTATTGTCATCCTAAAATGGTACATCCAATAGGGCACTGTATTTATTCTCTGGTGCCCCGCTCTTTTTTATCGGTGTAAGAAGTTGTTTAAGTTCGCATTAGTATTACTTGGAAGTGTGAACTTAAGATTTGTAGTACTGTATAATACGTCGTATAAAATGACTCTTTTGGTATGGTTAGCTCTTTGTTTGGGAGGGGTTCTGAGTTGAATGGTGTGAGTACAAAGGTTGGGAGAGTTATGCCATGCCCAAGTGTAGTTGGTTATTGGAAGTCCCCAGCCCAAGGAAAACGACTCAATACCTTAAAGTAAAGGGTGTTCTAATGATACAAACACAAGCAAAGAAGTGCTCAAAAGCTCAAGATCGAAGACACCAAAATGCAAGTCATTAGGTAAAACTCAATGTAAGAACAGCGTTGAAGTTATCTTGACTTTTGGCTTAACTTAAGTCATTTTTCAAATTCATAAATTCATGGTTCTCAAACTTGCATCTTACCTAAAATCACTTTCCAAAATTTACTTTTGGCTTTTGGCTTTCAGGTTGGTAAATGACTTGATTTTGAACCATGAAACCACCAGCTTTTAGTTTTTGCTCTTAGCCCACGTTTTTTGGTTTTTGATCCATGTTCGTTGTTTTTTTATTTTAGCCAAATGGTTTTTTGAGTTTTCAACTATGTTTTTTGATTCTATGAACTTTTAAATGAGTTTTAAACTTTTGTCTCTTAAAAATTGGTCATGGTTTATGCTTGTTAGTCTTAGCCCGTGATGCTTAATCTTTAATTATGATGGTATGTGTTTTTTCTTAAAGGCTTGGCTTTTGCCTTATATACCATAAACAAGTGTTTTCAATTATTTGTTTTTGGTTTGGGGAACATTGGGGTTTTGACCAAATTTTGGCATTTGATTTTTGACATTGATGTCCTGATTTTTACCCGGAAAGTTAAGAGGCACAATAATCGATTATCACATTTGGAAGAAGATAATACGCATCGATTTAGCAAAAAGATGGAGTATTATAATTACTTAAATAATAATAATAATAATAATAATAATAATAATAATAATAATAATAATAATAATAATAAGTACTCTGTATTATTTAAGATGATTTTCTCTTATTTAGGATAATTTTTTATGTTATCGTGAAAAAATCCAACACCTACAAATTAATTATAAACGAAGCAAATGATATGAGCCAGTAAAATGTACTCCCTCCGTCCCATTTTATATTGCCTGTTTGCCTTTTCTATCTGTCCCAAAATAAGTTGCCTGTTAGTTGTTTTCGTAAACTTTTAAAAATAAAATAACTAAACTACCCCTAAAATAAGTCACTCTTCTTCACCTTATCTTCTCATTCATCATCACCCCTTCTAAAAAGTAATGACAATTTTGAAAAATCAACTTTATTTTTTATATTCCTTAAATATGCCCAAAAGTCAAAAAAGACGATTTAAATTGGGACGGAGGGAGTATTATAATGTAACTATAAGGCCATGTTTGGTACACGGAATTCAAACTTTAAAATTGGAATTGAGGACTTTAATTCGAATTCTCATGTTTGGTAACACAAAAATTATGTGGATTTGAAATTGGTAGTGGGAAAAATGAATTGGAATTGGTGAATTCAATTCTATGGAATTGAATCAATGGAATTTTAATTCCAATTCAATTCCAATTTCATCAATTCCGTGTACCAAACGGACCCTAACACTAATGTTACTATCAGACTATTTTTTACACAGATACTCCGTAATAATTATCAATAAAAAATTATTGTTTGTGAGACAAAAATTGTTAATCTTGTGTCATTGTAGCATGGTCCAAATTTAGATTCGGTTCACGTCCATTACATAGAATTAAAGTTATTATCCAACGCTTATTGGGTTAATGGGTGAAGCTGGCCCAACCAAAATACGAAGTATAATGCTTGTGAGGCCCAAGTAAGACGACCGTATGGTCCAGAAAATTCGGACTTCCAGTTTGGACGGAAATGGCAGCTCTGAGAGCCGCGGCGGGGATGCTTTTTGGAGGCATATTCCGGCCAACCATATTCTTACTCGGGACACGTTTTTCCCACGCGCCGCCGCGACTGAGGACCTGTGGTTCGAGCGCCTTCCCGGTGTTGCGCACAATCAGTCACTTTCCCGTCTTGTGCAGAGCATCCGAGGGCATCGATGGCGACGGCAAGAAATCGCCGGCGAGGATGGCTCAGGTACAGCAGCTTATGCATGAAGCCACCGAGCGAGCTCAGGCCGCTGGAAATGATCCTATTCCTAAAATCACAATCGGTATGCCTGTACCTATGCTCCGATCTTCTTCTTCATTTTCGCAGCAAGTTGATCAGATTGGGGGGTTTTAAGGAATTAGGTATTATCCAGCAACATTTTTGTGCATTTGGAATCTTAATTGGTACTGTGTATGCAGAAATTGTATCATTGATCAATCAACTGAGCATATACAGCAAATGTATGAAAATGACTGAAAGAATAGGAATCAAAATATAACCAGGAAAAAGAATAACATAATGTACTTGCTCCATCCCTGACCTAAATAAGTCCATTGTGACTTATAGTATGTTTTGGTATTAATATCCTGTCATTTTCTTTCTGTAAATCTTAGATCATGTTACTGTAAATTTTGCAAGAAGTGGCGGCCCTGGAGGTCAAAATGTCAACAAAGGTCTGTGAAAGATCCATCCATAAAAGGAAAAAAGTTGTTTTTATAAAAGAAATGTTTTGTCAAGTATCCATTCTCCCCTGTTTTCTTAGGTTGGTTCTCATATTTGCAGTTAATACAAAGGTGGATATGCGATTCAATGTTCAAAATGCACGGTGGTTGAGTGATAGAGTGAGGGATAAGATTATGCAAACGGTAAGCTTTCATTTTCTGTATCTGGTTGTAAATACCATATTTTATTATGCATTTATTTTTTTTTTGTGAGGCTTCATATTATTGGGAAACAAAGTGTATGAAGAAGAAAATTCACGTGATCTTCAGTTACTTGGGGTGATACACACAAGCGCACACTACTCCATGGAAAGGGATGGATGGGAACAGAGTATGGAAGAATGGCATTTACGAAATATAGTTATATTTTAATGAGGAAGTGATTAGACGGGACACACAACTTCAGAATCTTACCTAGGATATGACGTTAGGTAGGAACATCTAGAGATCCATGATTAGAATATTTGGGTAGACCTTTGGGCTTTAGTTTATAGTGTATGCTGGTGCATTTGTGCTTCGTGTGCTTTGGGGGTTAGTTGTCACTTGTTAGTCTCGGTTTGTGTGCTTTTAATGGCTCTCTGCTCTTATTTTGTTTGTGCTACTTTGTTTACTTTGTCTTTGCATCTGTGTTTGAGCCGGAGTTCCCTTGGAAACAACCTTTCTACTTCATAGCAAGGGTGTGGCATGCTTACACACTCTCCCCAAACCCTATTTTTTTGTGGGATTTTAGTGGGTCTGTTGTTGTTGTTGTTGTTGTAGACTTGTAGTGTCAGGGTTCTTCTCAGAAACAATGTCTCTACTTCTTATGGTAAAGGTAAAGTCTAGTTACATCTTACTCCGTATTTCGCCTCCGGGATTGTCCTCTCGAGTGGGATTTAGTGATTTACTTGGCTTGTTTGGTATTTTAGTAGTAAGATGGCAAACCATGCATTTGTTATCTTCTATGGGAATCTGAAAACATTTTAAAGAAAAAAAGAGAGAACACAAAAAAGAAGGAAAATAGAGGACTAAGACCTTGCTTACAACTAGATATCTCTGGGCTTAAACAGGAAAAGAACAGGATCAATAAAGATGGTGAGCTTGTGATTTCTTCAACCAAGACCAGAACACAGAAGTAAACCTCTTCGGCTCTTCCTACTAATTTCCCCCACCCCACCCCCACCCTTTCTCCTTAATCAGTGGCATTTCAGCTAACCGGATGAGTGTGTTTTTTTTTTCTTCAGGGGAAACATAGAAGATGCCTTGAGTAAGTTACAGGTACCAACTGGTAACAGTTTTCTTTGTTGTTCACTTGTTCCTTTCTTATATGGCTGTAACCCTTCATCATCTGCCCAGAAACAAGTGGAACTGCATCTATAAGCACTGCAAAGTTGAACTGTAATGAATATCATATAAAGTACCACATAAATGGTATGTTTGGATCCAGAAAATGTTAGGGCAGTAGAAAAAATGCAAATGAAAGTTACAGAGTACTCCGTAATTGTTTTTTCATGTTTGGATTTAACTAAGAAACGGCAAAGGAGTGAAAGGACAATATAGAAAATAAATTTGAAGTAGATTTATTAACTTTGAGTATATCTTATAGGATCCTTCCATTTACAGTATTTCTTTCCATTTATCCTTTCAATTTTCCTCCATATTTTTTCTCCATGTACTTTCCGGAGTTCCTGTTGGATCATATTGATAAGGCTTTGACTTAAAATATCATTATTTCTGAAAACTAATGCACTATATATATAGGATAATGACAGGTCCAAAGAGTAATGACTTAGATCCTAGAGTTTTTGAACTTTTTAGGGTTTCTTTTCACCTGCTTTATCCTTCCCCAATTGCAGGCCATCATTGATGCTGCTTCCTATGTCCCACCACCTCCATCTCAAGAACAAGTTAAAAGAATTGCCAAGTTGTAAGAGCTCACTGGCTACACACTCTTTGCAGGAAACTGCTATGTTTCCCCTATGTTCTACCCCACCTGTTTTTTTGTCCTCACAGAGTCACAGATATGGATTCACAGAGATTGTTTTGTCTGTGAATTGACGTCTGTAAGAATAAAAAGAATGAGTGGGATAAAACTTGGGGACAACATAACAAGGTCCATCTTTGTAATACTACCTGTTATTTTATGGGATCATGCTAGGGCGCCCCATCCCTCACCCCACCTTTTCATAGACATCTAGAGGTCGAAAGGTTGCGAAGAAAAGTGGGGTGAAAGTTGGGACGACTTTAACGTTTTCCTATTTCAGGTATGTTGCAAAATTTTATGCCTCTCAATTTCCTTACACTATGTTTGGTTCAAGGAATTTGAAAGGGAAAAGAAAAGAAAATATTAGGGAAAATAGTATTTCTTGTGTGGTTAGAGAGAAAAAAGAAAAGAGAAGAGGAAGGAAAAGTAAATTTAAGAAGAAATGAACTGAAGAAAAGGAAAATAGATTTCCTTTCACTTTTTCTTTTCCTTTCGAATTCCACGAGCCAAACATAGTGCTAGGATATCATCGGGGACCGAACTTAAAGAAAATAATTTTTCAGCAGTACTTTTTGTTCCTTCCTTCCCATAGCGTTTTCTAGATTCCAAACTTACCCTTTAACTTCTTTTTTATTGTGTAAATTTAAAATCATCCAAACAAAGAGCTGCAGCTGGGGAGCGCAAGCGTCTTGACAACAAGAAGGCGCTTTCACAGAAAAAGTCTATGAGAAGAAGCCGCGACGGTTGGGATTGATTTTAGAGGAGTTGCATTATATATACTATTGTTCATAGCATTGAATCTCTGCAGTTATATCAGGCAACTGCTACTTATCTGCAGATCAATCTCAAGGAGAATGTGACAGTTTTGGTTTCCATAGTTTTGGTAATTTTCCATAGATTTTTTTTACATAGTAAGTATTGAACATGTTGTTTTATTTGTAGTAAAGAATGGGTTAAATCAAAATCTTCTGTTTTCATACTTTCCATGAGGTTCTAATGCAATTGTTATATCTGTGTTTTGTTGTGATTATCAGTTATCACATAGAGAGGCTTCTTCTTCTTCTTCACATATATCAATTCAGTACATGTCTGAATGAATCTATAGAAAAAAAAATATTTGATTTTTTTTTTGTAGCGTGCCTTTATTGCAAAACCAGAGAAGCTATTTATTGCATTTATGCCTCTGCACTTGGCACTTTTGCATAAATATCTGGTATGTGGCACCCTGGCTTAGATGAAAAAAGAAAAAGTGCAAAAAAAGTAAAACATGAGAATTCTTTCTACAGTACATATTTCATTTCTTCTTATTTGTCACATTAAAAATACATGATTTAAGTTACTTATAAACTAGAATTTGTATCTCAAATTGTAAACCACATGCACGTACCTCCATCTTGTGTTAGCATGATGTCAGTGTGATGATTCACATGAACATAAAATACTAGTGTCAAATTTTTTAATCGCACTAACGTATTATGCATATCTTTGGTTGTACCGGCAGGTTCCGCTGACCCTAGTGCAAAATACAAGGTCAATAGATGACACCCGCTAATTTAAAGATTTAATTAAAACGGAAGAAATTATGCACATATTTTACATGGCTAAAATATACTCCCTCCGTTTTTTAAAACACTTCCTCTTTCATTTTTTTTACTTCCAACAAAACACTTCCACTTTCTATTAAAAAATCACTTTTACCCTTACTTTTTCATACCTTACCTATCACATCATACTTTATCTCTAATAATCTATCCATCACATCTTACTTTTACCTATCACATCAAGGACAAAATAGAAACACTTTTTTCAAACGGAGGGAGTACTACGTAAATGGTGAAGGAAATTCTTACATTAAAAAACAAAAGTACACACATAATTTACATGTTGAAACAAAGCCTTATGACAGGCCAATGTGAAAAATGAAAGATAATGACACCACTCTTTCTTTGTCTCCATTTTTTCCCTAAAAAAACAATAGAAATGCAACGTTTTTCTCCTATTTCTACTCTTCACTTCTCTTCTCTCATTTCTACAGCAACAAACAAAGGCTAAAAATGGAATTAAAAAGAAAATAAATCAAATTTATGAGTTCCTAATTATTCACTTAAGATGGTTTTACAAGGGGCAAAAAGCCAAAGATTAGTCTAGACCCCTTAGTATTATTAGTATCAGATTAATTAATTATACGATGTTTTTTTTCATTTTCTGAAAAGAAATTCTTCGCCGGATTCCTTGTCGAAATGTCTGATCCACTTTCTGCCGCCGCTTCTTCCACCGCCACAGGAGGCGGCGCCGACGTGTGCGATATCTAGCCCTTTCCCCACCGGCAAGAGAACCGACCGGACGATCCTTGCTTTCCCATCGAGCACGCCCCGCCACCGGAAATCGGCCGCCACGCTGGAGCTGGCGTTCTTGCAGACCAGCACCGCCCCCCGGTGGCCGAGTTTCGCCACCCTCAGCACCCGCGAGAACTCGCTCCTCCGGCAATCCACCACCAGAAAGTCTATCCCCGCCAGCCCCTCCATGGCCTCCTCCGGCTCCCCCACGATCACCTCCGGCGACATTCCGGCGCTCTGCATCGCCCCCGCGTATTCCTCCCTCGATTCTTGATCCGGGACCACGCAGACGTGGCGGCCTCCGGCGTGGCGGCTCGCCACCGCAAGACCCACGCTTGTCGCCGTCAATCCTCCCTTCGACCACGTTTCCACGATCAGCTTCGCGTCCCATCCGGCCGCCATGGCCGATACAAGCTCTGCCACACCAGATTCTTGAAACAGCTCACACTAAATCCAAAATTTTACCCATCAAGAAATCAAAATTAGACTAATGGGTTTTCAAAGATCGAATCTTTTTCCATATTTCTAAGCAAAAAAAAAACCAAGAATTTACTCACTGATTTAACAGTATCAAGATAAGCCTTGCAGGCCTTTTCTGGGGACCAAACCAGCTTCATCTTTATCTTTCTTCTTCTTCTTCTTCTTGCCTCTGCTCTGTTACCTTTTCTTGTGAAGGAATTTATTGTTAATGCTTTGCTTTACGGCAAAGTTTAAGACTTTGAGATGATATGAAAATACAAATAGGAAAAAAAATGATTTTTTTTTTGTTTTGTTTGGGTAAATGATAAAAATAGAGTGGAGTAGAATTTATAGATAGGGAGGGGAGGAAAGGAGATGAAATGGTCATAGCAGAGTTGAGCGTTGACATTTCTGAGATGGGATATTACTGCCCACTGTATATTTGCGTGTCAATTCTTTTATAAATCTTTTTTTAAAAAAATATATGAATAATTTAAATTAAAATTTTTTTGCTAATGATAACCTTAAATATGCAAAATACCTTGATGTCGATTGGTATAATACTCGGTCTTCCAAATGAGATATCACATGTCGGAAATTCAATGGAGTCAACAAATTTTACAATAAATTAAAATAGAAGTAATAATGAAAAAAAAGAGTTACGATTACTATTTTAGCATACTTAATTTGTTTTTTCATTGATCATTTGATCATATAAAATAATAATATCAACGAATTTATAAATTTTAAATTAATTTTTAATTATGTACTAAGCATTATTTTAATTTCTAAATCTATTTTCAAATAAAATGAGTAAAGAAAAACACATTATCTTGCCTCATAATTCTAATATAGGGAAAGAGAGGGTATATTTTAATTAAAGATGTGTAAATTACCGAAAATATTTATTTAACAAAATCATTTGCTGTAACAAATATTACAATTGTAATAGAATTATTAATGCAAACAAATTATAAACTATAATGACTATGACAAGTTTATCTTTAGTTAAACAGGGATCCTGAAATAGGGTTTGCCATAATTTTGAACTAAGATCACTGTGTGATACTCTATGACTTTAAAATGATGCAATCATATCATCCTATAAAATCCACTAAACTTATTAATATTCTTTTATTTTTTTAATTAAATTGTACATAAAGAGGAGAGTTGTAATTTGTAAAGTTTTGTTGGGAGTGAGTGGGATGGTTGGAGTACCATTGTTCACTTTTTAGCCGTAGGAGCTTTAATGCTAACTAAGGCTAGTCTAATAGAGCCTTGCTTCTTATTTTAAAGACACTTCTAAAATTTAAATATAAAATTAGTATAGTGAAATGTGTATTAAAATTCATTTTGATTTTAAGACGGTTATGAAAAAATGTTGGAAATATTATAAAAAATACAAATTGAGTGTTCAGTCTAATGTGTTTGGATTTTGAAAAAAAATACAGAGAGGATTAAATTAAATTTTAAAGACAGCATATTTTAAGATACACTTTTATCCTTTTAGGTTAGGAAGTAATTAGTACGGTATAATTCACTAGTAATAATAATAATGGTCGGTAATACCTTTTTACACGAAAATCCAACGTGGGTTATTAAAGTTCGGGGTTGGTAATAAGATTTGCCTTTTAATTTTTTTAAATTTTTAATTCATAAGAAAATTAAACTGATCGAATTTAGCTGTCAAATTGTGAAATACTCATTGCCAATTCGCCATTGCTGTCAAACCAATGGAGTGAACTCAGCTGTAATTAAATAGTCCATCTCCCTACATTAAGATTTGTCATAAAACGAACCAAAATTTCATAAATTTTAAATTTTGGGTTTTTTGTGCCATTTATCTCTGAATTCTTTTGAAAATTGTGCAGATTCACCTTTAAAGTTGCACCAATTGCCATCAAGGGTCCCTCGGTGCCAGATTTAGGAGTGCGTTAATTACACGTTCATACAGTGCAAATATGGATTTATCTGAAGTCATATATCACACATGAGTTCCGTAATATGTTATTCCCAAATATTATTTTTTGTATTTTTAACCTCTTTAAACCCTAGATAATTATTCTTGACTTAGTCGCCGGTAACCAAATTTGAAGGCCAAACATCAGTCGATAAAGCTCGTCATCAATTAATCAACATGTTCGTCAATCCATGACATCTTCATCAAACTCCAACATGTATATTGATGAGCGTGTGATTATCGCATTATGAAAGTTGGCACAGATGGACCGTTGGTGCAACATATTTAAAAGTTCATGGGGCATTGGTATAAATTTTAAAATTCAGGGTGAATCCGTGCAATTTTCAAAAAGTTCAAGGGTAAATGACGCAAAAAACTCTTTAAATTTTTCTAATCAAAAATTGATATATAAAAAAAATACTCCCTCTGTCCAAGCTCCCAATTTGACTTCGCAAAAAGTTTAAAAAAAGTGAAATTATGTGCTCGAAAGTGATGTAGATAAGACAAAAAAAAGGTGAGCCACAAGAAGCTTTCCAAAAAAGGAATGAGGAAAATTAATTAATTTGGAACCGCCTAAAAAAGAAATAACAAAGATTAAATTGAGACGAAAGAAATTAAAAAATTGTAATGTTTGATTATTGCTCTTAATAAATTGCAATGTTTGATTAGAGTCAAAAGTGTTTATAACCTTCTAATCCTCTCCCAAAGCTCCAATCTCCCTACCCCTTTGTCCCTCTCTCCATCTCCATTTCTTCACTTTGTTACAGTATTTACTGTAACAAATTCTTGAAATAAAGAAAACGGAACAATAGATAAAATTTTAACAAAAAAATTAGGGGTATATATAATTGTATGAGCCACGTTAGGCCCTTATAAACATCCTAAAATCTCAATATCATAGTAATCTCACCCTATCATTTGTTAAGAGCAAATGAGAGATTATTTGCAAAGAGAAATGCTAAAGTCACAAACACTTCGGTCACAAAATACACAAACTTGCCATTTGTGCACCTCATCAAGTGAATAAAATGATATTAAATAATTAAAAAGTAAACATTTAAATACACAAATGGTAAGTTTGTGTATTTTGTGATTAAAATGTTTATGACTTTAGCATTTCTCATTTGCAAACACTCCCAATTAAGTCTCAACCTCTCCTAATTGTGCAGGTGTTGGATTGAACACACATTAATTTACCAATTTAATTGTAATTACACTTCGATCTATATATATAGAGACTCCCAATTAATATGTGAATAGAAAACTAGTTGAATTTCTATTAGTCTGTGAATAGAGCAGTTATTACTTAATGACATGTCATTAGTGCTTATCGAACACGGTTTAGGAAAGTGTTTGGTTAACAACTTAGGGATTTGCTATAATTATATGTATATTTGCATTTTTTGTCATGTTTAATTAATAATTAGCCAGCCATATATAGGGAGTAATTACAAATTCGTTCCCTAAATAATGTACTTTGATCCGAGCTGAGAAGGTGTTTTCATCTTTTGTGCTAGATATAAACAGATTGATAATTATTCATATAATTTGACAATAATTAGTCATATCAAATAATGAAAATTACATTAAGATATATAAATTAAAGAATACATGGAGAGAATTCTAATCAAAATAGCAATCATGGTAATAATAGAAAAAGAAAATTAAATAATACGGAGTAATAATAGTCTATTTTCTATTTACTTCCGTCTACTGGACCCGGTTAGTTGGATTCCCTAGTCGGCTTCTCACCGGTCCACATTTGAATTACAAACTTTAATTTTTGACACTTTTCATGGATTAACAAGTTTATTTTGCTTTTTTTGTAAAAGAATTTCAATTTCTTTATGATATCAATACACTAAAATTTATAAAATGAGCGAGAACATTAAGATCACGTAAAAATTTGCATATCTTGGTAAGAAAGGAGTGTGCGGAGCAGAATATGGACATGGAAAATAGGTCAGGCATAGGTCAAAGCTTATACTCCCTCCGCCCCTAAATTTTTTACACATTTTACTATTCAAAAATTGCAAGAATTTCTATTTATTTGTGTGTATTTATTAACTATTTGATAAAATAAAATACTTTTGTCACTTTTTTTGTTGAATTTTTTATGTACTTTTTAAATATGTGAGTTTCAGTTTTTATTCACATACCTATTTTTACATAAAATAAATTTAAAAAACTTTAAAATTTTACTTCGTTTTGCGTAAAGTGTAAATGATTTAGGGAGGGCGCACTATACTATTTGGGTGTTATTAACTTGTTGGGAGATGGGTAAATTACGGAATAGAGTTATCAGTTGGGCAAGTTAATGCTTTCAATTTATTATGGACTCTATTTAATTTCTATTTGGTCTTTGTATAAAAATGTGTACCAACATAAAATAAATTAAAGTCGTCATCATTAATTATATTGCAAGATATATATAATAAAGTCACCTCATATACACTCCGTCCGTTTTCAAATGACTGCCGTTTGACATTTTTATTCATTTGTTTTATGCTCCTTTATTTGTACTCCCCATTATAATATTTCAAAAAACAATACTTTCTGTTCTTTTAAAATATCATCACAAATTGCAATAGAGAAATATCTACGGAGTACATATTATAGGGAGAATTCTCTTTATAAGAGTAAAACACTATAAAAATACTAAAATTGGATAATAAGTTTTTAAAACTAAAATAAAAGTTCACATTGTCATTGTTACATTGACACACTTAGCACATTGTCAGATTGCAACCGCCGGCAATCGGAGTGCCGCCACAGATCAATAATGGTTAACTGATCACACTGGTGTATTACGTTGTCATCGCTTTTTCATCACACTACCAACGTGTACATTACACTTTCATCTTATTTCTATCTTAGTCTTAAAAAATTAGGAGTTCTATTTTGATATTTACATACTTTTATTACTCCTATCTAGGGATATTTATTTATATTATACATACACATATAAATAGAAAAAATTAATGACTAAAATTTTACATTAAGAACTGAAAAAATCAAATTTATAGAAAATTTCACGAGGAATATAATTGAGTATACTGCACAGATAATTGTTGTCTGTATGTGTTTGTGATATATTTGGTGTGCAAGTTGGAGTACAATTTGGACCATGCTACACTTACACCAAAAAATATACCCCATTTGTACACCACAGGTTTGCACAAACATTTCGATGGTTTACACCGACACAAGTGTTGATGCGTTAATAAAAATTCACACGGACACAAATGTTGGTGCATTTAACAAAAATTAATTTTACACCAACACAAAATGTTGGTGCAAAATTGCGGGGTACAAATTGGGGTACAAAACTTGGGGTACACATAGCATAATCCGTACAATTTTGGTGTACCTCTAGCTCACCTCTTCTTTTTTAGAAGTGCTTTATTTTTCAAAAACAAGAATCATAGGTTTGTGAATAAAATGTAAATGTGGTTTTGAGTGCGCACGGAAATGGGCAAAGGTTTGTTGATGGTGTCGGCAATTCCGGAGGATGGACGAAATGGTCGGGAAAAATATGAAACAAATGGCCCAATGCTTACTAGGTGGAGTTCATAACAAAATACTCAACGACCTATGCCTATACACTCCCTGATCAATTTTAACTCGCCCAGGCCCGGCTCCGAAAAATGAAAAAATAAAATTAGTCTGGTCCAAAATTTACATTTTGTTTCCTATTTTATATTTTTAGAATATTTTTGCTTTAAAATTATGAATAAATTTAAAAATATGGTACCCTAAATGTTAAGGGGTCCTGTGCGGTTGGTCACTTTGCACACCCTCCGGGCCACCCATGAACTCGCCGACTATTCATGCACGAAGAATAATACGGAGTAATAAGAAACTAAGAACTCTCGAAATATATTCTGTCTATTGCTCGTATTAGCTTAATTTAGCTTGAGTTTGTTTATGTGATCCCCCTCTATTTATAGCGTATATGGTATTTAATCAAGCCACTGGTCTTGCACCGCGATCGAAGTGATTAATGTCCGTCGCGGCTTAGGAATCGGTCTTCAATCTCCCCCCCTAACGTCGCTATTGACCCCTTCATCGACCAATGCACAAGAGTCCATATATTAGGCTCATTCTCTGAAACTGAGTCCCCTTAAGTAATTACAGAGTCAACTAATTAAAGATGCCTGATAGGCCTAGTCCATAATCTTACATGCCCAATATCTATGACTCCCCATTCTAAATGTTGTTGAGTTCGACGTCATTCAATAGTAAAAAGATAAGCAATTTATGTTTCCCGTATAATAAAATTGTCAATGACCTACGCCAATACATTGGCTCATTGATTTAAAATTTAACACACCGACTATAAATACACGAAGAAAATAATAAGAAAACAATAACTCTGAAAATATATTTTCTCTATTGCTTGTATTAGCTCAATTTAATTTGGATTTGTACATGAATTTTCCTTATATTTATAGCGTACATAAAGTGATATATGTTATTTAAATAAGTCTTTGGTCTTGCGCCATAATCAAAGTGATTGGCGTCCGTCGCAGCTTAGGAATCTGTCTTCAATCTTCCCACTATCGCTATTGACCCTTTTATCGGCCCAGGCACAAGAATCCGCATATCATGCCCTTTCTCTGAAACTGTGTCCCATTTGACAAGTACAGAGTCAACTAATTAAAAATGCCCGATGATCCTATTTCATAACCTCAGAGGCCCAATACCCATCACACGTCATTCCAAATGTAATAGAGTTCGACGTATTTCAATGTAATTTATGTTCCCCGTCATCTCTGCATTGAATTGGCAAAATAAGTGTTGTCAATGCCGGTCTCTGCATTTGCGGTGGAACAAGAACTTAGTGCAAACAGAAACACATTATTGTACACATTTGAGCGTCGAATCTCTTTAGACTCGCACACGTATGTAAAGATGATTGGTCGTTAGCCAAAAGTTGAATACAAGAAATGAATAACACAATATTTTAGAGCTTTGATTTGAAACAATTGTTTTTTTAAACTTGAATACCAGAACTAGCCACAAGAACCGTGGAGTACTAGAATTGTTTGTGGTATGGTTATCATTAATTATCCGAGACAAGGTAAGGTAGGAATTGACATAAATATTTGATGTTGTTTAGCAGATATTTGTGTACAGTACGTCAGTATCTACTTTTTTTTTCAACTTACACATTTTTAAGTTTGACCGACTTTATTTTCAATTTAATTTACTCTCTTTGTCCTAATTTTTATTACAATTACGAGGCAAAACCTCATATTTTTTAAAATTATTTTTTTAAGAATTGATTTAACAATAAAAAATAAAACTTACATATTTAAAAACTACATCAATAGTCTGACAAAAAAAGAAGTAACAAGAATATTTTATTTTATCAAATAGTCAATCACAATACACAAATAAACAAAAATTATCGAGATGAGAGAGAAGAAGATTGTAATCTATTTTGAGACAGATGGAGTATTTGGTTGTAGGTGCAACATAAAAAAAAAATTTACTCCGTATATGGTAAAAAATTATACTCCGTATAAAAATTCATACAAAATGTGACATGCCAATATTATTTTACGGAGTATGAAATGAATAGTAAAACTAAACAATGGGACTGAAACTTAACCATGTAAATAGTGTACGAGAAAGTATTAAGCTATGGACCTCGTTTGGTTAGAGCATAGTTAGAGGAATAATTAAGGCCAAACATATAAATAATTACAGAGTATGGTATATATAAATACATTTCTTGAAAAATTAACCAACAAAAGACAGATTGTTAGATAATCAAATTAATTAGAGTACTCTGTATTTAACAGGGATGCTCCCTCCATTAGTGAACCCACGATTTTTAACACTCTAAACTTTGTCAACATTAAAAATAATTAATGAAAGATATAATAACAGCACTGTTGGGATGATACTGAAGTTCCCTTTTTAAGGGTTTTAAAAATGATACCCAATGATGACTTTTACTTGATCATGTTCAATGTCATGGTTTCATAGTTCACAACCAATATTTTATTTTATTTCACTAAAGGAAAAAAAAAACTAAAACAGGGGACAGAAATTCTGATATACATGCCAAAATTGAACATTTTGAAACTGGGAGATACACAAAGATACAAAGCACCGTATAAATAACAAACTCTTTCGAACAGCTCAACTCGCGCGTATGCATTTTGTCGGGTGGTCTTACGTGACCAAAATAATGTACAAGAGAATTTCATCTTCATTCTATACTAAGCTAAGCATCCAAGACTCCAAACAATGAGTTTTGTATTAAAGCAGAATTCCCAGAGGCAGAGTGTAGAAGAAGACTCTTAGATGCCATATTCTGAACTAGAAGCAAGAACAGAAGTTGATTCTCTAACAAATGAGAATGTGTACCTTGTTGTGGGGCCAGTGGCGAGCCTGTACCTTCAGGAGCAAGGGGCGGTTCATCTGCACCATAGGGGCTATCCAAGTTGCTATTATTATCCCTTGATTGGTCGTCGGAATCTTCACTTTCATTTTTAGGCTCGTTTGAGCTCCCCTCGTTACCATCTCTTGGAATGCTCTTAGCCAAGTCCGGTCGTGGTTCAACCCCAACTCGTCTCAAGTGTAGCTGTTTCATTACGAAAATCGACATTAGGGGCATGTTTGGTTTGGGGGTTTCAAAGAAGATAGAAGCGGATGATCGATTGTTTCTTTCAAATTTATCTCTATTTGTTGGCGATGGATTATATGGAGTAAGATAACTTGGCAAATAATGTATTTGTGTAAAATGTTTGATCTTTCACTTTCTTTCCAATCAAATATCATGTAAAATTTATATATTTAAAAACTGCATCAAAGGTTTGACAAAACTATGGTGGCTAGACACACTATTATTTTATAAAATTAGTAATGAAAAAAGGGAAAGAAAAAGGTCAAAATTTTACCATGTGAAAAGTGAGCAAGAAAATTCTTTTTTGGAACGGATGGAGGATTTTTTTTCCCATTCCCTCCCTTCCAGACTCCCTTGTCCAAAAAAAAAGGTTAATGCAACGTTGATACCTGGAGATGAAGGTTCACCTCATCGGGCCGTGAAAGGAATGGAAAATCACCACCGGTCTTTAAGTAAGCTTGTCTGGCACCAGGGTACCTTTCTCTAACTTGATCTTTGAGTGGTTGTGGGGTTGCACAGTAATCATTTGTCTTCAACAAGCAGGGAAAAACATCCGATAAAAAAAACAGGGAAAAATTAGTAATTAATCAACAACAGTAACAGCACAAAAGAAATTTTACTGACTTGGCTTCGTCCAAATCGCACCAGTAGAATGGAGGTTGGGGTAATAGGGAAAGGGGCATAATCGAAAGGATAACCTCCAAAAACCATGATTCAGAGGTTCTCCAAAATTGGGTTTTCGAAAGTGAACCCAGTTTGTCCAAAAACATGGGTTCTTGTCATCAAAATGCTTCTAAAAACAAGGTGCCCAGAGCCACGCACCATTAGAGTACATTTCACCTTGTTTTACCAGTGAAAATGGTTTTCTTAGAATTAAGTTCTATGGATAATATATAATAGTGGGGGGAAAAATAGGAAGGAAAACATTGAAGAGAATCGGAAGGAAATAAAATGTGGGGGGGAATAAAACTCACAAAAACAGAAAACATAAAAACGTTTCAGGAAAATTACTCCCGATCTTGATAATGGAGTATCATTTTCAACAAAAGTACAAAGAATTACAGAAAATATACAATTAGCATGAAAACATTTTCGTGGTAAAAAGATAGAGCCTTGAGAGTAATACACGTAGAAGATAACAATATCAAGGTGATATTGGTGGTCATAAAGCGGGTAAGAAGAGTAAAGCATTTCAACCTAAAGAAACTTTTGATAATTAACATACATCCATTATGGTGATAGAAGAATCTGGAAGGAGAAGAGGTCCAACTGATGCAGCACCTGCAGTTAATGTTAATCTAGAAGCCAGGTCATCTTTAGAAAGTGTTTCAACCTGCATTTTTAAAATTAAGATTCACAAATTTTATTTTAAATACTTACTAAGATCTAAATATTGAGTAAAGACTTAATTTAACCTGAGAAACAACAAAATCCACAGAATCTGCAATAAATGGTTCTTGGGGGACATCTCTGATTCCAGTCAGGACATACCGCTTCAGTAGGAAAGCAGGTGTCCAGCCAACACTTCATCAGAAAGAAAATCATCTTTCATGGCATAAAAAAAGATCACAAGTCTGATAGTATATCCAAAACTTCTTTTCTTTTGAGTCTATAGCATGTCCTCAGTGTTTGCCTTTTCTTATGGTACTACCAACCATTAAGGTTTGTTTGGAGGATAGAAACTGCTAGAGAAAAGGGGCAGGGTGGCTGATGAAAGTTGTGTTCTTATTATTGACTTTACCTTGGAAAGATGCGATGGAAACTGAATGATTAATTTATGAAGAAAAAAACCTATTCAGGGTTCTTAGTCTTTAGATAGAAATAAATAAAATGGCTTTCAACAAATACTTAGATTAAATTTATTTGTTTGATATTGGTCTTTTATCATTTTTTTTAGTTCTCATTTTCCTATATTTACCCCCTAACTTTAGCTAAAACAGACAGTTTTTGTTGTTCCCAATCAAAGTCAAACTGTCAGAGAAGGTTTTAGATAATACTACGTAAGTTGTTAAAACAATGAAATTTTCTACGTAAATAGAACCCAAACTTGTGCATTAGCAAGTAACTTACACTGGGGCCCACGGCATAGCAGCAGAGAAGCTAGACGTGTCCAAGAATGTATTCGAAAGTAGCAGTGACTTAACTCGTCGTGGGCGATACTGAGCAAATAGTTGTGCTAAGAATCCTCCAAGCGCTGTGCCATATAAATGTATCTGCCCAAACCAAGGTGCATTATGAGTCCATGACTCGTAGAAGTGTTGCTCCTTATAACCAAAAAATGCAGTCAAAACTATTTTAATGGTATTGCCAACTGTCACAGGTGTTTGACATTATGTAAATTGTAATTGTGATTCTTCCAAATTTTGTAAACTTAGTCCATCATCACATATTATTGAGATAAAATTAATCTCTCCCGTAGAATTCCCACCCATGTTACAGAAGGCCCTTCGCTCCAGCTGACCAATGGAGGGCCACCTAGTACCGTGACCGCCTAAGCGGGGGGTGCCTAGGCATTTCCTAGAAATAGGCCCTTTTTTCTTTTAATTTTCAAAAAGAAAAAGATGGTCACCAATGTTAGAGAACTTACATGGTGAACATCAATAGTATCCAGAAACTTCTCAAATGCTTGAATCCACTCACGATGGTTCCACGCACGGGCAATATCTACCGAAATTACACGATAGCCCTGAAAATAAATGTCATTACTTAAGTGTATGAAATAAAAACTTATAAATAGAAACAAAAAAACAACTTAATAAAAGCAACACAATTTCACTTTGTCTCAGTATTCTCTAGGAAAAGTGAGATGAAAAGGTGTTTACAGATTTCCACATAACAGTTATCCATTTAAGATTTATCTTCACAGTGCTATATCACCCACAATATATAGCTATAGTTCTCTAGTTCAAAAGAACAAAGAGAAGAAGGATAGGTATATAGGCCAAAGGAGAGAAAAAACACTTCAAAATTACTACCTTCATGGACAATGACATGATTTGTTTGTAATATACATCAGCTGTTCCTGCTATACCAGGAAGACAGATGAGTGGAGGAACCACTCTAGGGCCAAAATCATAATATCGCCATTGTCTTGACCCAATCTACAACAAAAAGGAGGTTAATCTGGTGCATGATAAAAACCAAAAAGCTGACATCTTTGTTAACTAAATTCACATTCTACAAGAGTAGTGATTAAAATAAAAGTGATAGCAATGCTCATCACCGAGAATGGATTTAAGGCACATCACCACAGATCCGAACACGATCCTATTATTACATGGATCATGTTTTGAAACTACAAAAACCTTCTTAGATAGGGAATTTCATTGATGAATGGAAATTCCATCCCCAAGCTCTTCTTTGGTTGGATGACAACTTTGAAAGGGGGATGTGGAAGAGCTACATTATCCTCCAAACTCCTCATTTCTCACTCTCCCAATCGGGGGTACTTCGAAGGAGATATATTGTTTCTTAATTTCTTTTTAAGCTTTTTCTTCCAAGTGTTCTACATTATTATCATTATACATAAAGATTATTATGCTTTTAATTACAGCAAAAGTTATATCAAATTTAGAAGGACCATGCTACACTTACACCAAAATTTGTACCCCAAACTTACACCAAAGGTATACACCAACATTTCGATGGTTCACACTGACACAAAGTGTTGGTGCGTTAACAAAAATTAGCGCTACACCAACACTAAATGTTGGTGCACACTTGCGGTGTATAAATGGGGTACAAAATCTTTGGGGTACAAATAGCTTTATCCAATTTAGAAATATCCATTTACTTTTCAAATAAATTAAAATAAATAATTCCTCCTCACTGCTCAAGTGCTCAATTGAATGAAGCAAAACATTTTTCCCCTCCCCACCTCTCTTTTAAATCAAACAAATGCTAAGAGAACTCTGTGCACCTTGACTGTAGCAAAACTTGCCAAATGTGAGACAGCAGATGCAAGACAAGGCTACATAAGCTTGAAAGCGAATTGATCACAGTTAACAGTATAAATTTCAGCACAACAAGCAGCAAAGTGAGTATAAACAGTCCAGCGCGCGACTTTTACAGCCATGAAATATTGAAATTGCACAAATCTTCATGATGAGTTCATATAATTAGGAAATAACTGACAGAGCCGAAACAAAGGGAATAATGGATAACAATGGAGATAAGAATCAAAGGAACAAAACCTAAATTTCTTAAACTCGTTTGCACAGAGATGGCAGTAAGGAGGATGAAGATTACAAATTCCTTACAGGGATCTTATGAAGAGGGACCTGAGACTTGAAGTAGATGTAATCGCCAGGCGCCGAGAAGACGCCTTTCATTGCTGAATCTCAAGTCCGCTCACTCTGCGCGAAACCATTAGCTTATGGAAGCTTGAAGGAGATCATAGAAAGCGGTGGGCGAATTTCGATTCCGGGGAGTTGGATTGATATGTCCGCCTGCAAAGTCTTGATATGATCGGAGGACCTATGAACGAACGAACCCACGTGGATGGACCCCTCTTCCTAGTTCCGCGTTTTCCACAACCTCAAAAAAAAAAAAAAAGAGAAAAAAATAAAACCATAGCAAGCTTTATGTTTGGTATAGTTGGCCTTGTTTGGAAAAAACGTTTTCAATTACCGTTAGCGTTTTGGATAAAATATTAACGATGTAGATTAATTCAGAAAACGTTAATGCTAAAAGCTACCGCCAGATAGATTTTTCAAAATGCTAACGCTAATCTCTGACGCTAATGTCAAACGGAGCTGGTTGTCAATAATCGAACTCAGGTTTTAAAACTTCAAATTGCATGACATGGTATACTAGGTAGGGGTGAGCGCAGTCCGTGATCCTACCGAAACATATCACGCATCGCTTTTGTTTAAGCGTTTTGGTATCGATATAAAATTTTGGGACTATATCGATATAAAATTAATCTCATAACCATTCAGTACCATTCCGTTTTGATACCGAACAATACAATACTATACTCATGTTTAAAATGTGCCAAAATTATTAAATACGGAGTATGGATTATTCAAATAATATTAAAATAAAGGTACGATTCTTTGTATAAAAAATACAACTTTGTTTATAAAAAAAAGTAATGATTTGAATTTAAAAGGATCATAAATCTATAGAATAAAAAGATAATAAGTCTAAATTTTAAAAATGAAACTTTTTTTTTCAATTCATACAATATCAAACTAACAATAACTCCAAAAAACACTCATAGTAAAAATAAATATAATAATAACAATTATTATGAAAGAATATTAAAAAAGATTAACACAATAAAAAATACTCAATATATGATAAGATGAAGTAGGCAAGGGTTTGAAATGTTACGTAGATAACTTTGAATGATTGATAATTGGTTTTTTATTTTTGTATCACGATCACATCCAGTTAGATGTTGGTTCGGTTATAGTTTGGGATGAAAAAACCAATCTCGGTATGTTACCATGTTAGTTCGGTTTTTTCCGCCTACCCCTAATACAATGGGTGTTTCTTTGTACTAGCACTTATTATTGCCGATAAACAATTTTTAACCTATAAACTGTTTATAAGTTAAATATTCTTTTGTGAAAATAAAATAACTTAAATAACAAATAATCATTTAAAAATATTTATAAACAGTAAAAGATTGATTTGTAAATAATTTGGCTATAGCGAAGAAATGAAAAACCTAGCTTAAAAATAAGTAGGAAAGAAAACTAATTGAAATATTTACTTCCACCGTTTTTCAATTTTGTCGTTGTTAGTTCTCAATTTTCAACTCCGGGAGATTTGTTCGATCCAATGAAAAATATTACTCCCTCTGTCCCAATGTATTTGATAACTAAAAATGATACGGAGCATTATATACTAATACAAAAATAGTTTTATTACATTTGTTATATCAAATATTTTCAAAATATTATTTTATCTAATTAATATATAATATATATTTTATTAAATTATAGGTCAAAGTTAGAAAACATTTTTAAAAAATCAAAATTAGAAAAATATCTAGGGATGGAGGTAGTATATACGGAATATCTCAAATGATTATTTGTCTAATTCATCATACCTTATATGGAGTAATTCATATTGTATTGTTCATTTTTTTTTAAATTCTTTCATTATTATTGTTGTTATTATATTTATTACTACGATTAGTATTATTTTTTGGATTTATTTATAGTCTGATATTGTACAAATTGAAAAAAAATTATTTTTAAAATTTGGACTTGTTATCCTTTTTCTTCATGTTTGTGATTCATTTAAATTCAAAATCAATACTTCTATTTAATAAAGTTGTACTTTTTATAAAAACATATGTTTTTATTTCAATATTCTTTGAGTAATGTATGTCTATTTTTTGACACAATTTGAACATGAATATGGACTTATAGTATTGTACCGTTATCTTTCAAAACGAAATGATACCAGATGATTTTGGGGTTCATCCCTCCTTTCAGTTTAAATCAGAGGATTCAGCGCTATAGGTTCAGGGCGCGCCCACCCCCAATTCCGGAATGTTCTCACTTCTCTATTCTCATTGCCCATCAACCTTCCTCCGATTTCTCAAAAGAGACGGCATAGTTACAGATTAAGTTAGAAAAATGTCTCTGAAATTTCAACATTTTGATGCCAACTGTTTTTGCACACGGAGTTCTACGAAAAGCACCCCAAGAACCAAGATTTCTTTAAAACATGCGAAGAATTTCTACTCCCAAAAGACAATTCGACTCAGTCCGGATGGCAAAACTGCAGAAAGCAAGACTCTTGACATGAAATCGGAGCGAAATGCCGCTCAAGGTGATATTAGGAAAAATGGCGTTTCGGAACCCCGAACTGGGTTGTTTACCAAACGACCATACGGTAGGTTAGAAACTAAGAGCAAAAGAAGCGGATAGACTGGGCTTAGAAATTTGCTTGAAGAAGTGCCGACCAACTGTTCGACGAAATGTGTGAAATACGGAGGGTGTGTTCCTGCGATTTTAGAGGCTTTACGAACTTGTGATGATTTTGACAAGGCGTTGAAGCCATGGGAAAGGACTCTGACCAACAAAGAACGAAGTATAATCCTCAAGGAACAGCTGGGCTGGGAAAGAGCTTATGAGATCTTTAATTGGTTCAGGAAAAAGGGATGCTATGAGATCAATGTGATTCATTGCAACATTATGTTGAGGATTCTAGGGAGAGCACAGAGGTGGACAGAACTAAAGAACTTGTGGGATGACATGAGGGGGAGGAGGGTTGAACCCGTAAATTCAACATATGGGACGTTGATTGACGTGCATTGCAAAGCTTGCCGTCTAGACGAAGCTATGGAGTGGGTTGATTTGATGTACCAAAACAGGATGGAACCAGATGAGGTCACAATGGGAATTGTGATTCAAATGTATAAAAAAGCAGGGGACTTTAAGAAAGCTGAAGAGTTTTTCAAGAAGTGGGAGACTGTAAATGGAAGAAGACCACATGAAAGCATTAGTTCACCTCTTTGTTTGAGCTCATATACGTATAACAACTTGATAGACACATATGGGAAAGCAGGAAAAGTAAAAGAAGCAAGTGAGGCTTTTGAAAGGATGCTTGATGAAGGGCTTTCACCAACCACAGTAACTTTCAACACAATGATTCACTTGTACGGTAATAATAACCGAATGGAGGAAGTCTGGTCCTTAATGCAGAAAATGGAGGATCTTGGCTGCTATCCCGATACACGGACATACAACATCCTTATTTTTCTCCATGCCAAACACAACGACATAGAGACTGCATCATTCTACTTTGAAGTGATGAAGAGTGCGTCTCTAGAACCAGACATTGTAAGCTACCGAACCCTCTTGTATGCCTTTTCAATAAGGCAGATGGTTTCTGAAGCAGACATGCTAGTTCTAGAGATGGATGAGAAGGGAATGGAGATTGACGAATATACCCAGTCAGCCCTCACTAGAATGTATCTAGTAGCCGGGATGTTGGAACGGTCATGGTCATGGTTCCATAGGTTTCACCTTAGTGGGAGGATGACTCCCGAGTGTTACTCTGCCAACATTGATGCGTTTGGAGAGCACGGCCATGTTTGGGAAGCGGAGAAAGTTTTCTATTGTTGTCGGGAGGTAAAAATGCTTGGGATATGCTTGGATCCTGGAAAATGATAGGGAAAGGAACGAAATCACTATGGAAAGTTATTTTCTTATGCTTTGGTTCACCTCTGATTTTTTCAGAAAAAGATCATTGTAATATGATTATATGCTTTAAAAAGCTTATGCACATTTGTTTATTGAGTTTGAGCCTGTTTCTGTTTATTTGCAAATAATCGTTCCTTCTAATTTTCCTCCCTATTTTCTTTCCTTAGCATTTCCCAGGTTCCAAACGGGCGCTTACTGTCCTCGAGTTCAATGTAATGATCAAGGCTTACGGGATAAGCAAGAAATACAATGAAGCTTGCCTCTTATTTGACAGCATCCAGAAACACAATATATCTCCAGATAAATGCAGCTACGGTTCCATCATCCAGATATTAGCCAGTGCCAATCTTCCTGTCAGGGCAAAACGTTACCTGACCGAAATGCAAGGGGCAGGCTTGGTGGATGATTGCATTCCTCATACAGCTATCATTTCCAGTTTCATAAAAACAGGTCAGTTGGAAAAGGCGGTATCTTTATACACAGAGATGATCGGGTTTGACATCCAGCCCGATCCAGTAGTCTATGGTGTTCTGATAAACGCATTTGCCGAAATTGGAAGTGTTAGAGGTGTGAACTTTTACTTAAACGAAATGAGGAAAAATGGGTTGGAAGCGAACTCTGCCATATACAATTCTTTGATAAAGATATATAGTAAAGTCGGGTTCTTGAAAGATGCTGAAGAGATATACAGGGCATTTCTGTCTTTTGAGGATGGCCCCGACACATACTCTTCGAACTGTATGATCAATCTGTATAGTTCGCGGTCTATGATCGGACGAGCAGAAGAGGTTTTTGATGGGCTGAGGAGAAAAGGTTGCGCGAATGAGTTTTCTTATGCTATGATGTTGTGCATGTACAGAAGGAACGGGATGTTCGACGAAGCGGTTCAAATGGCTAAAGAAATGAGAGAAAAGGAACTGTTGAATGATGTGTTGAGCTATAACAATGTGATTGGGCTTTATGCAGCTGTTGGAAGGTTTAGAGATGCAATGATTACGTTTAAGGACATGCTGGTTTCATCTTCTTCCGTGAGGCCCGATGGGTTCACGTTCAAATCTCTCGGGGTTATTCTCGTCAAATGTGGGGTTTCGAAGGAAGATGTGAAGAGACTGAGGGAGAAGGGTGATGATCAGAATGGTGTTTCTCTTTGGATTTCAATGCTTTCTTCTGTGATTGGGTTTTGTGATGATGATGATGATGATGATAAAGATGATGATTATCATGCTGTGTTTGGGGAGAGGTAAAATGACTGGTTTTGTTTTCATCAAATTATCTCTTTTATGTCTTAGGGTCTGTTTGGAAAGGAGAAAATGATGTCTTAGGGTCTGTTTGGAAAGGAGAAAATGATTTTAGGATAATTTCGGAAAACATTTTTTCTCTCAAACTTTTTTTGATGGGTAATTATTAAGTACAGAGTAATTTTTGTCCTTTGTGTGTGTATATATATATACCCTCGACTGTAGTCCTCGAGGCAGTAGCTCCACCGCCCTCCGCCACCGTTCTTTCACTGAATCAGTCAGTCACTCATGGACGGGAAACACTTCCTCCGCCACCTTTTCCTCTTCTTCTCCGCGCTTCTTCTATTGGTATTCACACTCCAGAACCTTCCGCCGGCCAAAAAGACCGACCTACTCGACTGCGCCGCCAGTTCCCGGCGGTGCCCCACTTCCAAGANCCTTTGTGTGTGTATATATATATACCCTCGACTGTAGTCCTCGAGGCAGTAGCTCCACCGCCCTCCGCCACCGTTCTTTCACTGAATCAGTCAGTCACTCATGGACGGGAAACACTTCCTCCGCCACCTTTTCCTCTTCTTCTCCGCGCTTCTTCTATTGGTATTCACACTCCAGAACCTTCCGCCGGCCAAAAAGACCGACCTACTCGACTGCGCCGCCAGTTCCCGGCGGTGCCCCACTTCCAAGAACGGCTTCCAGTCCCAAACACACGGCGTCCTCAAGGACCCCGCCAAGTCCACCGGCCACCGCGAGGACGACGCCCCGCGCCACCCGCTCGACCCGCTCACGGTCCGCGAGCTGAACCGAGTCCGCGACGCCGTGAGATCCTACGGGCCCTTCCGGACGGCCCCGTACGCCCTCCACTACGTCACCCTCGAGGAGCTTGAGAAGCGGGCCGTCCTGGGCTGGATACCCGGCGGCCCGCTTCCGCCCCGGAGGGCGTCCGTGGTCGCCCGGGCGGGCGGGGTGGTGCACGAGCTCACCGTGGACGTGGGGACAGGCGAGGTGACCCGGCACGAAACGGGCCGCCATTTCGGGTCCCCGATGTTGACGATCGAGGACATGGTGGCGGCCGTGGCGGCGCCGTTGGCCAGCGCGGCGTTTAACAGGACGGTTGTGCAACGTGGCGTTGATCTGGCTGACCTTGCTTGCTTGCCTGTGTCCTCTGGATGGTACGGTAAGTGGTGTAATACGACAATCGTTGAAACTTGAAAACGTCAGTTTTTTAATGCATGCTATGGTAACTTTTTGTCGTGTTAGTGCGACGTTACTCTTTGTAACGTATTAATTATTGGTTATTTGAATGTTGTTTATTGTATAATTGAAAAATCCAGAGCGCAAAATTGAGGACAAGAGGAGATTGATTAAGGTACAATGCTACAGTATGGAGGGAACTTCCAATTTCTACATGAGGCCTATTGAAGGATTAACGGTCCTGATTGACTTAGACACCCAAGAAGTCCTTGAAATCTCAGATGAAGGGAAGACCATCCCCGTCCCGAAGGCCGCCAACACGGAGTACCGCTACTCCGCTCGGAGCGTCGGTGCCAGAGCAGTTGAGCTTGACCTGAAACCGATTTCCATCGAGCAGCCGATGGGCCCGAGTTTCACGGTGGACGGCCATTTGGTCCGGTGGGCGAATTGGGAATTTCACGTGAAGCCCGACCCGAGGGCGGGCGTGGTCGTATCCCGGGCCGTGGTCCGGGACCCGGCGACGGGGGAGATGAGGAGCGTGATGTACAAAGGGTTCACGTCGGAGCTGTTCGTTCCGTACATGGACCCGAGCGACGCGTGGTACTTTAAGACGTATATGGACGCGGGCGAGTACGGGTTCGGGCTCCAGGCGATGCCGCTCGACCCGTTGAACGACTGCCCGAGGAACGCTTATTACATGGATGCCGTCTTCAACGCCGCCGACGGAACGCCTTACGTCAGATCGGATATGATTTGTATCTTTGAGAGCTACGCCGGCGATGTCGGGTGGCGCCACTCCGAGTGCCCCATCACCGGCATGAACGTAAGAATATTCATCACGTTATAAGCTTCTCGGGGCCTGTTTGGGAATAGCTTTAGCGATTAACATTAGCGTTTTGAAAAGGCTATCTACGGACAGCGTTTAGCGCTAGCGTTTTCAAAGTAATCTGCACCGTTAAAATTTTATCCATAACATTGATGCTAATCTCTAATGCAATTTCTAAACAGGCCCCTGGTTTAATTACGCGGGATTGGAGAGGAGTCTAAAAAAGTTCAAATTGGGTAGTTGAAATTTACCTACCAAAAGAAGTGTGAGAAGTCACATATTTTTTCCTTAAAAAGAAATGAAAAAAATGTGCATTTTACTTTAGAGTGAACAAAAAGAAAAAACAATATGAAACTTATTTTAGAGGAGTATGAATTATCATACCTTGATTATGACTAGATTATGACGCATGAATGAATTAAAGAGTCGTGAATCTTTACTAATATGGTACTATGATGGCACACTATGACTAGTTGTAGATTACAACGTTTGAATAAAGAATCAAGATTCCTTGATGGTATGTTTGGTGGGACATAAGTAGAGTGGATGAATTATTGAGTGGCTAATTATTAAATACTTCCTTTGTACTTCGGTTTTTGTCCACTTTTGACTTTTGAAACTGTTCATTTAAGCACTTTGACTTATCAAATTCTCTCAATGTGTAAACCTAAATATAGTCATGTGTGATCTTGTTTGATTTGTCTTAACATATAGACTATTAATATATAATTTCTATAATTTTTTAATATACAAATTACGAGATAAAATGGATTAAAGAAGTGCATTGGATGGTGTATAAAAATGAAAGTGAACAAAAGCTGGGGGACGGAGGGAGTACTTCTTTTGTCGTGAACTAATGTAATATTTTTTGCCACCAAATAGATTGAGTGCCCCTGTAGTGTGAAAAAAAATGACACCAAATACTTTTTTTGTTTTTGATACTTATTTCTAAAGTCTCTGTAGTTTCAAAATATTGCATCCACACCTCCTACGGTCATTTTCCGGCAAAGAGGGCGCTCGTATTAATGCTTATTTTCTAAACCATAGGCACCAATGCCCCCTTCTTCGCCGGAAAAATGGCCAAAAAAGGATCAGATTGGGAAATGTGTGCAATGCTTTGAAATCACGGAGACTTAAGAAATAAACTTTGAAAACAGAAGAGGTATTGGTGCCTATTTTCCAAACCACTGGAGATAGTGGTGTCATTTAGCCTAGTCGTTTGACCAAAAAAAATTAAAACTACAAAAATATTTTTTGGATGAAGAAGTGATTAAGAATGACGTAATAATGTAATAAAGTGTGAGAGTTATTTGGCAGATTAGGGAGGTACGGCCGAAGGTGACATTAGTGGTGAGAATGGCTGCATCCGTGGCCAACTATGACTATATCGTTGACTGGGAATTCCAAAATGATGGACTTATCAGGATTAAGGTTTGTTTGTCCTCTTCTCTTAATTTTGATTATCAATCACTAGTCTTAGGGGAATAGTTCAACTTTTCTAGTTTCTTCTAATAACGATTTAAAAAGTATTTATATATTCTTAGGGGCTGTTTGTTTCAGCCTCTTAATGGTTCAGATGTCTGAATGATTCAGCACTTAATGGTTCAGACTGTTTGTTTCAGTCTCTTAATGGTTCAGATGTCTGAATGGTTAAGAGATTTGGCTCTGAATGGTTAAGTATTATACAGAGTCTGAATGGTTAAGAGCTCTTATCTGAATTGATCAGACATTTGCCTCTGAATAGTTAAGCAATATACTAGCTCTTAATGGTTCAGACCTCTTACTGGTTCAGCACTTAATGGTTCAGACCTCTTACTGGTTCAGCACTTACCCATTCAGAAGTTGCCAAACAGCCCCTTAATATAAAATAGTACTCCCTCCGTCCCAAAATATTTACCACATTTGCTTTTTCAGCAGTCGCATGAACTTTTGTTTATTTCTACGTTTTCATTGGTTATTTGATAAAATAAAATGTTCTTGACACCTCTTATTTTGAAGAACTTTTCATGTAGTTTTTTGATATGTACTCCGTAATTTTTATTTTTTATTTCTTTACTAATATGTAAATAAAATGAATTGAAAAAACTTGATATTTTGCCTCGGTAATAGAATTGTGACAAATAATTTAGGACGGAGGAAGTATTATATATCTAAATTTATAACATATCGCCCCAAACATGGCGAGTGGTGAAATTATTTTTATTCAAATTAAGATTTTCTTACATGTATATTTGGATGATCATTTAATTGAATGACTTTTTAACACTTAAATTCTTCCAATTCTTTCTAGTTTCTTCTAACTCCTAGTTTCTTCCAGCATTCTACTCTAAAATTCTAATAAAAAAACGAGTCTAACGAGTATATGAAAAGCCTAGACATTATATTATTAACAGCATCAAACTTTACTTATGTTGTTTGCTTATTTTCACTACTTATTTTATAATATGGAGTAGTAATATCACCTCTTATTTTGAAGAATAGCTTACGTAAATTTAAAATATAGAAATTTTATACATGCAAATATGCAATCAAAACAGTGAACTTTACAAGTCTTGATTGTTTCATGTAGCATTGTGTGTTTTCGTTTTGTTTTTCTTATAATGTGAACTTTGCAGGTTGGGCTAAGTGGCATCTTGATGGTGAAAGGCACACCATACTTGAACATGAACCAAGTCAATGAGGAAGAGTACCTCTACGGCACACTCTTGTCGGAAAACGTGATCGGCGTCATCCATGATCACTACGTCACGTTCTACTTGGACATGGACACGGACGGGACCGACAACTCGTTCGTCAAAGTCAACCTTAAAAAAGAACGGACGTCCTCGGGGGACTCGCCGCGTCGGAGCTACATGAAAGCGATACGGAACGTCGCAAAGACAGAAAAGGACGCGCAAATAAAGCTGAAGCTCCACGACCCTTCAGAGTTCCACGTGGTCAACCCTAACAAGAGGACCCGCGTTGGGAACCCTGTAGGGTACAAGATTGTCCCCGCGGGGACCGCGGGAAGTCTGCTCGACCACGACGACCCACCACAAATTAGAGCCGCGTTCACGGATAACCAAATCTGGGTGACTCCGTATAACCAGAGCGAGCAGTTTGCGGGTGGCACGTACGTGTACCAAAGTCACGGCGATGACACCCTCGCAGTATGGTCCGAAAGGTAAGAATGCAACGATAACGATAACAAACCCAGTAAAATCTCGGGAGAAAGACCAAAGTAAGACTAAAATATTGAAAATATACCAAAATAGGACTTCCATGTTTTTATTTTCGAAATAGGACTTAAAATACATTTACATTACCAAATATGGTCATATACATTACCAAAAAGTATAGTACTGTGCACATGTATATTGCCACATTACAACCACATTATCACAGTGCGAAATCCTAATTTTGGAAAAAATACATAAAGATTCTATCTTGGTATTTTTCTCTATGTTTTAATCCTATTTAATAAAGTGATTTCTATAAAATTTCACAAGATAGGAATAACTAACTATTAATTGTGTGTATTTGCAGGGATCGTGAAATTGAAAACAAGGACATTGTGGTGTGGTATACGTTAGGGTTCCATCACGTCCCGTGCCAGGAGGACTTCCCGATAATGCCAACCGTAACGTCAAGCTTTGATCTAAAACCGGTGAATTTCTTTGAGAGCAATCCGATTCTCGGAATCGCGCCGAATCAAGAGAAAGATCTGCCGGTGTGCAAGGACATTGCTTCTGCTTGATTATATATATCTTACGATTTGAAAAAAAACAAAAATTCTCTAAATTTGAGCTGTTGTATGCTCCGTTTGGTGTAAGGTTTCTTTATTTCATAAACCATAAATAATGCTAGGGAACATCTTGTGATCACCTATGTGTTTTGGTGCTTTACTCTAGGCAAGTACTCTCTCTATCTCTCGAAAATTGTGAGAGAAAATGGTACAAAAAAATTACAAAATCTTTTCCAAAAGTTCAAAATAAAACTTATTTTTAAATACACAAAAAAAAAAGAAAAAATGTGAAATAATGGTAGGTTTTATAGATCATACAAAGGATGATAAATGGTTGGTATTTCCTAAATCGTATGAAATTTTCACAAAAAAAAAAAGAAATAATAGGATTCGTTTTTTATGGGTTGATGCTTTAACACTATGTTTGGTTCAAGGAATTAGGAAAAAAAAAGAAAACAGAAAATGATTTCTCTCGTTTTCCTTTCCAAAATGAAAGGAATTTGATTTCTCTTTCTCTTCGTACATTTTATCTTTTCATTTTCTTTTTCATGGACTTTCCTTTTTTTTCTTTTTCCTTTCTAACCAAACAAAAAACTGTTTTCCATCTTAATATCTTTTCTTTTCCCTCTCAAATTTCTTGAACCAAAAAAATGTGTAAAAATATTAATGAGAAAAAAGAACTATTGCATACTCCCTCCGTCCCAGAGTATTTGTCCACTTTCATTTTTACACACCATCCAATACACTTCTTTAATCCATTTTATCTTGTAATTTGTATATTAAAAAATTATAGAAATTATATATTAATAATCTATATGTTAAGACAAATCAAACGAGATCACACATGATTATATTTAGGTTTACACATTGAGAGAATTTGATGAGTCAAAGTGCTTAGATGAACAGTTCCAAAAGTCAAAAGTGGACGAATATAGCAGGACGGACTACGGAGGGAGTATTACTTTAATTACTCGACATATGAATTCTTTTATTTTTATGTGAAATAGTAGAACTCCTGAATTGCATTCAATCAATGTAAATTACACAAACAAGCAAAGGAGACTGTCCTGTGCACACATGAATTCCTCACTATTTAGTCAAGAGTTTTCAAATTTAGTTAATTTACAACTACAACATTCCACAGCGATTTGCGAAAACGGGTTCATCACGGGGCCCATATTTGCAGTGCTTGCGTCGCAAGTTAGCGCTATACACACGTACAAACACAAACAGCATTAGAGTACTCGAGAATAAACTGTGTTCGCGTGTATCAGATTGTTGTGGTAATTTCTTTTTTTTTCTGCATTGTTCGAAATGTTCATAGTTTCAAATAAAGCATTTAGGGTGTAGAGGGAGTGAGGGACCAAGATAAACAAGCAAACCTCGGTTTTTAAATTTCTGGCTTTGACTTTACATCTCCATTCGCTAATGCATTTTGTGCTTGAGCCAACTGTTTTGCTTCCTGTTTGGGATGTCAACAAATGTGTGGTTGTAACAAATTTTTTCCCGATAATACAGTTTCATCTTTTATAGTGAATGTGTGGTCAATTGTGGAAGTTTATTTCAGTTTAGGAGGGATATATTTTAAAACTGCACACATTCATGTGGCATCATCCAAATACTATTCTGGAGGGGGGATTACCAAGCACACAGATTGTGATAGTGTGCCATGACAACCTTCCTATGAAACAATGAACTGTAGAGCAGCAACATGTTATTCAAATTTGGCTAACTGGTTCCATATAATCGGTATGTATTTTAAAGTTAAGAAACATGAAGCAATAAAGGAAGAGAAACATATTGTAGGAGAAATGCCACGAGGTTTATTATAGCAAGTTCAACGACATTACCCCATTGTGGGGTATGGGGGGGTCGGATGCATGTTGCCTGACCCCTATGTTTAAAACATAGAGCGGCTGTTTCCAGATGGCACATGAGGAGCGTCGAAAGTTGCATTGACTTACTGCTACTTCACTAGGGAAAGAAGCGCGGACAATTTAAAGATCTATTTTGCTTCATTCCATCATACCCCAAAGCAAAATAAAAATAGTGAATCTTTGGCTTTATTATAGCAAGTTCAAGAAATGAAAAACTTACTGCAGCAGAAGTTGCACGCATCACTCTATAAGCTTCCACTTCATCGGGAAATGCCTCTTCAAGTTCATCCAAAAGATGCTTTCGCAAACCCTATGCAAGGTTAAGAAAATAATATTTAGTTCGTCTAAATTGAATCAGCCAAGAGACAGTGTCGATATATGTGGTAGAGAAACTGATTGTGGATGAAGGGAAGAAAAACATAAGGATGTCACTGTAACTTTTAGGGGTTCTGGACTTTTGTTTTTGCTCTAAGGCACCAAGAAAAGCAGAAACATCATAAGGATACCTTGGAAATTGGAATGATGTTTATGCCAGTAGAAACATTTGGAATGAAAAATAACAGTGAACCACACCTTGAAAGCATCTGTTTTTCCTTTGGTAATCTGGTTTTTGGCAATACAACTATTCAAAACATCCCTAGTAAATTCATCTGGATTCTTCCCGTTGTCAATTAAACTGCATAGAAATTAACCAAGTGAAAATAAAAAGAGAAGAATGAGAAAAAATCAAAGTAAAATCTAGAACAATATAACATTACAAAAGAGAGAACACGCCTTACTTAAGGACCTCCATGGGCACCTGAATATCACATTTTTCAGCCAATTTCGTCATATTATCAAGCTCCAAAACAAGAGCATTCCTGGACGAATTCAATGAGTACATAAATAAATAAAGCAGTAGAAAAAACTCTAGTATAAAAAATGTTAAAAGGAAATTTGTGGAACGTACATGCGTTGGAGAAAAGGAAGCTGGGAGGCAACATTGAAGGAAGACACAGTGAGATAGAGCTGGTGGAGCATCCCAAGGGTTTTCTGTATAGAATTGATGACTTGGTTGAGGTTCTGTTTGGAATCATCCGCTGGTGAGCCCGTGGTAGCTGACGCAGATGAGTCTGCAGGCGAAGCAACGGTGGACATGGAGAGCACCATGCTGTTTCCACCAGCACCACTTGTTGCCATGGCATTCTGCGAGTAATTCATGACTCCCGGCTGGTGGTTTTGAAATTTGATGCTGGAAGTGTTCTGAACAATTTCCTCAGTTCTGGTTTAATGGCTTAAATCTCAATCTTTTTAACTTTTTATTGCTTTACCAACTAGCAAGAAAATGCACACACGATCAATACATCAGTGTTTTCAAAACAAACTGGCCTATCAACCTGGCTTACTATTGTGCATTTTGGGGCCAATTTGTCTGCCAAATATAATTGCGACAATAACATCACTTGCGATTGGTGATTGTTAATTAATAGTGAGTCGTGCATGCAATACTTTATACATAACTTCGACATATCAGTTTCTACAGTAGAATCACTGATGATCATGGAGCATTATGCAAAAATCTATCCATAACTTTTACAACGTACCAATCTGCTACAATAACTGATCAAAGTGGGATGCGCAAGCAAAACACTAAAAACTATTTGCCTTTTTCATCGTTTCAATAAGAAACAATTCAAAACTAAAGTGCACCATCATAGGCAACTGAAATCATTTACAATGTTCATAAATGTGAATTAAAAGTGGATAACATGTGTAAATTCTTAGATCCAAGCTTAAATAATAAGTGACATGTATCCCCCGGCACTTAGAAGTTCTTTACCTTTTTGTAAACAACACAACATTCAATTTTGTAAAACCTCCACAAGTTCCACAAAATAATTCATCATTTGAATATAGATATGGACAGGGTTTAACAGTCTCTCCATAGAATCCTCATTAATAAATATTTAATAATATGTTTTAAATAAAAAAGAAATTGTACATAAACGTTTCAAACATTCTACCCAATATCCCTCTTAAGATAAAAAAAACTAGATTATACTCCCTCCAACCCAAATTCTATTTAACAGTTGCCTTCACGAAACTTAAGAAAAGTGTGTGATCGGAAATTGTTTAGAGGGGATATAAAGATTGTGATTCACATACTCACATATTCCAATCCTTAAAAAACATTAGTTAAGTATGAAATTTATTTTGGGACAACCAAAAAAAAAGTGAGATGCTTATTTCGGAACAGATGGAGTATATAACAGAATCACAAAATTTCGGAACAGATGTAGAATAACAATGTAGAATAACAAGATTGTGATTCACATACTCACAGATGCTTACTTCGGAACAGATGTAGAATAAGAAAATTTGAGCTTTTATAACCTATCATCACCCAAATTACAAAGGCATGGAAACTCATTGTTAAATTGAAGTAATAATATTCACTTTTCTCAGTTCTCACACCAACAAAGGCAACAACCCAGCATAAAACTTTCTCTTGGGTAGGCAAAAAAACTGATAAAAATGCAGATTTAAGAATATGACTTATATGAGTAATACAGTATATCATATCAAAAGTCAAAATACAAACATTTTAATTCTTAAAAAAAAACTTCCGAACACAGATTTTTAATGATAAACAACATACAGATATTACAGAACCATTAATTCATTCTATTTCATAGCAATTAGCAAAGATTTTAAATTAAAAACTAATAATTAAACCTAGATTTTAAATCCAAAGAATGAAACTATGAAAGAAAGAAAAAAGTTACAAAATTGGAAAGCTTGTGAGTAGTGAATGCGGAATACCTGGAGGGTCGGCGGCGTCTAGCGGCGGCGGCGGTGTCTCTACCGGCACTCAGAATTTTCCGATCGATTTGCGTGCGAGCTTCTGCGTCTGCGTTTCTGGCTCTCTGCGACTTACTTTCTACGGCCTTCGTACGGAGTAAAAGGCTTGGACAATTAAAAGATGGGCCTTTGACTTGGGCTAGGTGCTGGACTGCTGGGCTACTTATATACATTTTTATATGAATATATAATAGTTAAAAAAACATTGGGCCCTTAAAATAATGGGCCCTGAACGGATATGCCGAAAGAAAGAAAGAAAGAATTGTCATGGAAGGCATATTGTGATTTGGGTTTTATTTTTTTAAAAGAAAAAATTCGTTTGTAAAAAGTACTAGAAAGACTACATTTCACATTTAAATTTTATTATCATAGAAAAATAACTCGTAATATAAAGGCCACATTGTTGAAAAAAGGTTGATAACTAACGAGTTTATTGTACCAATACCTCATCTGGTTTACTAAATATATACTTTTACCTTATGATTTTAAAATTTATGTTGTTGCCTCATGTGGTTCTAAAATTCATACGTCGATGATCTTCTTGACTAAAATATCTTTCAAATATTAAATGTATATCTCCGTTGTCCCCTATGATTTTGGAAATGTGCACCAAAGCCTCCTATTTTTTATATTTTTTTTGAGAAATGATGAAAATATTGTTTTTCAGAATTATGTTTTTAAAATGTTTTAAAAAATAAAAATTATTGGTGCTTGAAATAAAAAATTTAAAATTTATTGCATTTGTCTCAAATTAAATATTTTCATTTTTTTCTTAAAAAAAATAATATTTTTATATCTGTTGTGACCAAAAGAATACAAAGTATTTTTTGATATTTATTTAAATATATAGTTATACTATTTTTTGAATCAATGCGTAATAAATTTTCTTCATAACTTAATTTTCCTATTCTACAAAACTATATTTTCATATACTTTTCTTCTTATTTTCTTAAAAATCATGAAGAGAAAAATAATTAAAAACTAGAAAATGTGAAATACGCTTCAGTGTAAAATAGTGAAAATTTTTCATTAATTTTTTTTATCATGAAAATGAACCAATAAGAATCTCTTTTTGGACAAAATAAAATTATTTAATTCAAGACAAATGAAGTGTATGTTAATTATTTTTATTTTAATTAATTTTTTTATTTCAAACACAAAATTTTTTTTATTATTAAATCAATACGTAGTATAAAAATGGTTTTAAAAAAGAGCTTTAAAACATTTATTAAAAAGCTTTAAAACATTGAAGTAAAACATTGAAAATATACCAAAATAGTATTACGGAGTATTATTTATGGAAACTTTACCATGCATAAATTTTACTATATTTATGGACATAAGCACGGTCAATTATTATTATTATTATTTAAATTGACATATAATATATAGGAAGGGAAAAAGACAAAAATAGGAATAAAAATTGAAAATATACAAAAATAGAATTTCCATATTTTTATTCTCGAAATAAGAGTTAAAATGCATTTACATTACCAAACATGGTCATGTACTTTACCAAAAAGTATAGTAATGTGCACATGTATAATGCCACATTACTAGAGTGTGAAGTCTTATTTCAGAAATAAAAACATGAAAGTCCTATTTTAGTACTTTTATATATGTTTTAGTCCTATTTTGGGTGATTTCTAATATAGGAATGTATTTACGATGCATAAAATTTACCATACATAAAATTTTTCTATATTTAGGAACATAAACACGGTCTATTATTATTAATTATTATTATAATTGACATACAATATGTAAGAATATATTTACCATACATAAAATTTTACTATATTTAGAGACATTAACACTATATTATTATTATTATTAATTGTGATAATTGACAAACAATATGTAAGAATATATTCACCATTCATTAATAATAATAATAATAATAATAATAATAATATAAAATTAGAAAAAATCAAATGAAATTTTATTATATATGGAGATTTTAATTATATATGGAGATATGAAGTTTATTGTTTATGGAGATTTTTATATATGAATTCTTTTTATCAATTATAGAGATATGAAGATTATTATTTATGGAGATTATTATACTCCGTATATAGAAACTTTGCATTTTGCATTATTAATCCTGATCAATCTTAATTTTGGTTCTTTTTCGATTTCATTTGGTCTATATAAATAAGTTATTGCTCGTTCTATTTAGCAAGTAAATTATATGTTACAGTTTCAAGAACAAATCGTATTAGCTTGAAGATTCTGATATATCCAACGGAGATGATGTTTCCACTATTTGTACGAGTAATATAATTTATAAAAAAGTTTTTTAAAATTTGTAATTCATTTGATATTTATGTTTTATAATAATGAAAAACTATAGTGCTATATGGTATAAAATGTTTCTAGATGGTCTATTTCTAGTAATAATTAAAAACAAAAAACTAGTACGATGCACTTTATTTTTATTAAAAAAAAACTGGCCAAACATTTTATTCAAATAAGACTTCTTTCTTTGAACAAAAAAGAAGTCTAGCGAGGAAGAACCATTCATTACAATGAAAACATAACATTCATTGGGTGGCACACTGGCACTCAGTAAGAAAATCAAACAGCTCCAAATTAAAAATGTCACAAAAGACATTTATAATATGTATATATATATATATATAGTTTAATAATCTACCAAATAATCAAAAGAGCACCTAATAACAACAAGCACATGCTTGAAAGTCCAGTCCACCCAATCTTCTCCACACCATTTTTGTCTTTTCCACCCTTTGCTGTTTCTGTAAAATTTCCAATCAATTAGAAAAAAACAAATTGGAGTTATTTGAAAATTAATTTTTATCATTTTTAAAATTAATTCACACCATTAAAAAAATAATCTAAAAAGCCAAAGCTAATTGAAATGCAGTATTAGGTCATCGGTCCAATTAGGACATCTACATACTTTGTTCGTCTCGAAAGTAGTTCTCTAACCCCCTGCACCTCACCCCTGGCCTCCTGTTCGCCGATTGGCAACAAGTTTACAATTGTCAATCAGAGAACACGGGGGCTAGGAAGTCTTTTGATGGGTTAGGGAATAAGAGCCACTTTTGAGATAAACGAAATACTGTAAGTGGTCGATATCATAATAGAAAAATAAAATGCTAGGATGCTCTCAAATGGTTACTACGTGGCCAGAGTGTACCCATGCTTTACAAAGATTATTATTATTCGTGTCGCACAAATGATTATCATTTGTGTCATCTGTGCGAAGCATGAGTGCACTTCTGGTAGCAATCATTTGAGAACATTCTAGCATGTCCCATCATTATATTACATCAAAATTTGATGTCAAAACAACGTTGTTAACATTTATGCCCGTGTGGGTAACTTAATTGGTCTTGAGGGCCTGGAGAAGGAAGATTGTTAAGTCCAAAGTCTTAGGGTCCGTTTGGTACATGGAATTGACGGAATTGGAATTGAATTGGAATTAAAATTCTATGGGACTTGGTCGCAGAATTGAATTCACCAATTCCAATTCATTTTTTGCACTACCAATTCCAAATTCACATAATTTTTGTGATACCAAACATGAGAATTGGAATTGAAGCCCTCAATTCCAATTTCATAGTTTGAATTCCGTGTACCAAACGGGCCTTAGAATCAATTCCAGCGGCTATTTCTGGAAGTTCAATTCTATTTAATGTGATAGCTTCTTATATTACCGTGTATGATTTATCTTTTCACTACTCTGACACTGGGTTAAGGGTAGCATGGGTGGTCTTTTTTACTACTCCGTATTTCCTATGTTCGGAAATGATTTATCTCTTTACGGATCTTTCGATAACTTTTATTTATTTACGTGTTTTCATTGATCGTTTTGTAAAATAAAATATTTTTTCCATCTCTTGTTTTATAAAAGTTTTGATATAATTTTTAAATACAATTGTATAATTTTTATTTACCATGTGTAAAACAAAATTATTTTAAAACTCACAAGATTTTAAGGGGTAATTCAGTAGTTAACATACATTTCTGGTGCATGCAGACCCAATTTCCAAAGTGTAGTTTGACTCCAAAATTATTTTGATTAACACTGTTAATAAAATATGAAGCCTGGAAACAAAATACGCAAGAGAATATAGAAACAAGGGAGAACGGAGATTACCAGCCGGAGCCGCCGGTGTCAAGGACGCCGGTCTGGGAGCCGGAGACGAAGCTGTAAAAACACAAATTCACCGGATCAAAATCACGTAGTAAAAGTAAAATCGGTTGGTGAATCGGTACAGATCTGGACACAGAAGTTTAACCCGAGGGGTCGGGTGACCCGGATTGAAAATTACCGTTGCAGGCGCTGAGGTCGCCTTTGATTCCGCAGGCGCCGGGGAGTTTCACGGCCTGCGTGACATTGATTCCGAGGGATTTGAACAGCGATTTGTCGTTAAACAAGTTGCAGAGGCACCGGAGCTCATTCTCCACCGCTTTTCTCAGCGGATCGCAGCAGGACGGCGGCGGTTTGGTGGAGTTCAGGAAATTGGCGCAGGGGACCAGATCCGAGGCACACGACGGAGGATTTGTCTGGGCATGCGTCGCCGTCGACGCCATCACCGCCGCTATCACCACGGCTGCCGACACAATCCAATAGCCGCCCATATTATTGTCTGTTGATTAGAGGAGCCCCTTCAATTCCTCTCTGAAATGGGAGTTATTACGCGCACAGTATAGTGACATGTTATTCAGTGCTGTATTTATGTTACACACCCTCACAAAAAAAGAATGAGTCTCATCTACGAGGCTCTCTTTAAATTTGAACAAACGGTCACTTAGAAGAAATAAATTGGAATTTGATTGTAGATTAATATCAAAAAGTAGAGCATGTATCTAGTACTGAGAGAATCTCTATGCTCGGCATGTTACACACTTCAATTTTGTACCTCATATACATCAAATTTAGAATAATGTTATCCTCATTGGTGCTACCATGGGCGCTAAAAGTGGACAAAAAACCGAACTTGTATGATACCATATCGGACCGTAATGGTACTGAACTGTTTATAGTGTTTTTTAAACGGGATTGACTTTTTCATCACGAACCGAAACTGAACCGATATCAAACGGGACAGAACCGTGATACAAATATTAAAAACTGATTATCACAGACCGAAGTGTTCAAAGCTATATACAGAGTATATTCAATAATTACTACGTATTTGTTTACCTCATCTTAACGTATATGGAGTACTTCATATTGTATTATTCATTTTTAAATTCTTTCATTAATATTTTTTTATATTACTACTATTACCATAATTTGTTTACTACTATTACCCTAATTTTTTTGATAATTTTTTTTGATATATCTCAATATGTGACATACGAAATTGTCTCTTCTAACTAGATTTCACCTAAATACTTTGAACTTCTAAAAATTATTTCTTAAACAATGTAAAATTAAATACTCAAGTTCTTTAATTTTCCAGATAAAACAAGTCTAATAGGGAGTAATGGTTCTCATCTAGAACTCAAACACTACTAATTAAACAAAGAATTAATTTAGGTGTATCCTAAAATGGAATATCTCATTTGCATCGTAAATATCAATAGACACACAAATTTTCCATGTTTGTACAGAGACATGAAAAGTCTTTGTGTATGTGAATACCTGAAGCATAAATTAAATGGGATATCCTATTTAGGTACACCTAACATTGTCCTTAGTCAAATGGTTGAGTATGCATGTTACTGAGGTAGATGTGCGTTTGAATATTGTTGAGAGCAAGTGTATTTTGAATATTTATATTACTCATTTATACCAAATAATCAACAAAACAATTAAATACTGTAATTTTTTTTAAAGGAAATATAGATATATAAATCAACCAAATCAAGTTTACAAATTACAACAAAATCAGGTGGGGAAAATGGTAAATTGAGTTGTGATCCTAGTTTAACTTGAGGTAAGAATTGGCACTTAGTAAGTGCAAGATGCCTATTTTTTGTGTAAATAAGAAAATTGGAGAGTGCATAAGATAGAAAGAAATATTCCTTTTGTCCTATGCCAAAAGGTATAACAAAAATAACGTTAAAACACCACACTTTTTTAAAATTATTTTATTTAAAAATTAGTAGTAAAATATAAAATAAAATTTACACATTTCAAAACTACATAAATTTTTTTACAACACACACATAATATGATTATTTAATTTTGTCAATGGATGAATGAAACACATAGAGAAAGGAAAGTTATAAAAAAAATCAAAATAGGACTCCTTAACTTGTGTCTTTTGGCTTGGAAATAAGAGTTGAATGGATTTTAATTGTGTATCATGTATGCCTCTTTGGGTTAACACTTAACACTATGTTAGGTTTCAAGAATACCGAAGGGAAAGAAAAGAAAATGAGAAGAAAAATAATTTTGCTTGTTTGGTTAGAAAGAAAATGAAAAGAAAAATAGAGAAAAAAATAAATAAGCGAAATATATTAAAAGGATGGAAAATAAAATTTATCATATTTTCTTTCCTTGTGAAACAATAGAAAAAATGTGTGGAAACTAGACAGAGGATGATAGATGTTGTAAAGGGTTAAATATGCTTTTGAACCTGTAAAATACGTAGTAAGTGATCTTTGTTTTTTGTTCAAGTAAAATACATTTTTGTTAAGTCATCCTTGTAAAATATTTTTTCCATAGTCCTTTCACTATTTATTTTAAATTTAGAATTAATGTTGAATTTTATTTTGGTCCCGAGAAAATTAGTAATTTTAAATATTTTAAAAGACCAATAATAAAAATCGTTCAATTTTACGGAAAAAAACGTATTTAACCTTATTCAAAATTACCATTTTCTCCTCGATAGAAAAGTTGTTGGCTGAGTAGAGTCCCTTATCTGCAAATGCCCCTTCAAGAATGAGGCCCCAAAAGCCCCTCATCACTCTATCTTCATCTTCTTTAGGCTGTCCCGACCGTCTTTAGGCTAATACGGAGGAGCATTAGCTTTGATTCAATTTACAGAACTCATTCGATAAGATGGCCGCTGACTCAGTACTGAGAATGTCAGTGGCTTCCACGGCTTCTTCGTTCTGCAATTTCCATGCCTCAAGAAGGAAGCCGGCGACGCTCCCTGGTGCCGCCGGCTCCGGCCATCGGCGACTCCGCCGCGCCAGGGTTCAGCCGCTCACATCTTCTGCCTCTTTGTCGGATTTCTTTGGGAACTTTCAGATTAGGGCAGCCCCTGGTCCGACAGATATGAAGTTCCACCAGAAACGAAGCCAAAAGAGCAGGTTCTCCGTCTTCGCCATGGCCGCTGATGGTATTCCCACCATTTCTGTTCTCTCTGATCAAATTCGTTTCTGGGTTTGTGAATTTAGGGTTCTTGATTGGCAAAGATTGAATCTTTCTCGTTCTTTTTTCTAATTTCTGTGTTTGCCCTTTGGAATTTCATTGCTACATGTGTCTATCTTATGTTTTTCTTTTGTTTCCTTTGATGATTAGGTGAAGATCAGCCTTTTATTTTCATTTATCAATTCTTTCAAGACATTGTGTAGAATTGGAAAGTCCTTCTTGCTATCTTGCCCATGGTTACATACATGCTTTCCATTGTGACAATGGCACTAAGATTCTGAAATTTTAGGGCAAAAATAACCCAACAAAAAGTTTATGACATTTGAAATGGCTATGCCAAAACTCAGTCTTCTGCATTTACTCCCTGTGTCACCATAAGTTTTGTTTTTGTACGTCTTGTTTTGTAGAATTTTTGATGTAGTTTTTAAACATGATTATGTTAAAACTCAAGTCTTTTGCATTTATAAGGTAGTGTTTCATGAGAACTGTCATTGCAGATGCCAAGAGAATGGTGCCCTTAAAGGACTACCGAAACATCGGAATCATGGCTCATATTGACGCAGGGAAGACAACCACGACGGAACGGATCCTCTACTACACAGGCAGGAACTACAAAATCGGCGAAGTCCATGAGGGGACCGCCACGATGGACTGGATGGAGCAAGAACAAGAACGCGGGATCACCATCACTTCCGCTGCGACCACGACCTTCTGGAACAAGCACCGGATCAACATAATCGATACCCCTGGCCATGTCGACTTCACACTGGAAGTTGAAAGAGCCCTGAGGGTTCTTGATGGTGCCATATGCCTGTTCGATAGTGTTGCTGGGGTGGAGCCCCAGTCGGAGACCGTCTGGAGACAGGCGGACAAATATGGGGTCCCACGGATATGCTTCGTCAACAAAATGGACCGTCTCGGGGCGAACTTCTACCGTACCCGAGACATGATCGTCACGAATTTGGGTGCGAAACCGCTCGTGATTCAAATCCCGATTGGTTCGGAGGATAATTTTCTTGGAGTTGTCGATCTCGTGAAGATGAAAGGGGTAGTTTGGTCAGGGGAGGAATTGGGGGCCAAGTTTGTGTATGAGGAGATCCCTTCGGAACTTCAAGAACGGGCCGAGGAGTACCGGGCAGAGATTATCGACACCATAGTTGAACTGGATGATGAAGCCATGGAGAAATATCTTGAAGGGACCGAACCCGACGAGGAAACGGTTAAAAAGTTGATCAGAAAGGGGACCATTTCGGGCAGTTTTGTTCCGGTCTTATGCGGGTCCGCTTTCAAGAACAAAGGGGTTCAGCCCCTTCTTGACGCCGTCGTTGACTATTTACCTTCACCCATTGACTTACCCCCAATCAAAGGCAGCGACCCCGAAAACCCAGAGGTAGCCGTTGAAACACCGGCCAGTGACAGTGAGCCGTTCACCGGTCTGGCTTTCAAGATCATGAGCGACCCCTATGTGGGGTCGCTCACGTTCGTGAGGGTATATTCGGGAAAACTTGTGGCAGGATCTTATGTGCTGAATGCAAACAAGGGAAAGAAGGAAAGGATTGGGAGACTGTTGGAGATGCATGCTAACAGCAGGGAGGACGTCAAGTCGGCCTTAACCGGTGACATTGTTGCCCTCGCCGGCCTTAAAGACACCGTCACCGGAGAAACTCTGTGCGACCCGAACAAACCCGTGGTTCTTGAACGGATGGATTTTCCGGACCCGGTTATAAAAGTTGCCATTGAACCCAAGACCAAAGCTGACATTGATAGGATGGCGGCCGGGTTGGTGAAGCTAGCTCAAGAAGACCCGTCTTTCCACTTTTCTCGGGACGAAGAGATCAACCAGACGGTCATTGAAGGGATGGGGGAACTGCATCTCGAGATCATCGTCGATCGGCTCAAGAGGGAGTTTAAGGTGGACGCCAACGTTGGGGCCCCACAAGTGAACTACCGCGAGAGCATTTCGAAGGTCTCGGAAGTGAAGTACGTCCACAAGAAACAGTCGGGCGGGCAAGGGCAGTTCGCGGACATAACCGTGAGGTTCGAGCCGATGGAACCGGGCGGCGGGTACGAGTTCAAGAGCGAGATAAAGGGCGGGGCAGTCCCGAAAGAGTACATCCCGGGGGTGATCAAGGGGTTGGAGGAATGTTTGGGCAGCGGGGTGCTGGCCGGGTACCCGGTCGTGGATGTCCGGGCGGTGTTGGTCGACGGGTCCTACCACGACGTGGACTCGAGCGTTCTGGCGTTCCAGCTGGCGGCTAGAGGGGCGTTTCGGGAAGGGATGAGGAAAGCGGGTCCGCATTTGTTGGAACCCATAATGAGGGTTGAGGTTGTCACTCCGGAGGAGCATCTTGGCGATGTTATTGGGGATTTGAACTCAAGGAGAGGTCAGATCAACAACTTTGGCGATAAACCAGGTGGCCTCAAGGTATTTCTTTAATGCTTCTGAACATTTACTCTCTTAGAAATCATCCTAAATAGGACTAAAACATAGAGAAAAGTATCAAAATAGGACTTTCATGTTTTTTTCCCGGAGTAGGACTCTGCACTGTGGTAATGTGACTTTGCATTGTGGTAATGTGACAGTGTACATGTACAAATTACTATATTTTTTTGGTAATGTATATGACCATGTTTGGTAATGTAAGTCCTATTTCGGGAATAAAAACATGGAAGTCCTATTTTGACATATTTTCAATGTTTTAGTCCTACTTTAGTCTTTCTCCCTTACCCAAATCTATTTCCCAAAATTACCCCTTGATGTAACGAGTAAAAATATAATGTGATAGGTAGAGTATAGATAAATAATTTTGGTGATGTTACCTAGGGGTATTTTGGTCTAAGAATAATCCTCCAACATCTGTGTGGGCAGGTGGTGGATGCGTTGGTTCCGTTGGGGGAGATGTTCCAATACGTGAGTAGCTTGAGGGGGATGACGAAAGGGAGAGCGTCTTACACTATGCAATTGGCCAAGTTCGAAGTCGTCCCTCAACACATCCAGAACGAGCTCGCAGCCAACAAGGCCGAACCCGTTGCTGCTTGAAGTATTGTGTTATATTTTGTCTCTTGAGTCTTTGAAATGATTTCTCATGTGCACATATTCATTCCTCAGAATTTGGGTAGAAAACTGAAGTTCTTATAGGAGGGCAAAGAAACTGCAAAGTGCACATGATTTATTGACAAAGATATTGTAAACGATCTTCATTGACAAAGTGCATATTTTTATTGTGTTCAATATGCTTTGATCATTTTTACTTCATTGCCAATTTACTGATGATTTCTCTATGCCATTCACCAAACAGCCCTTTCAATAGTGTTGCATTGTTTCTCTTAAACATTGGTACATTGCTGTAAAAATACTACACATGAATGTGTATTGATGGACAACAAAGAAATACTCGTTTAGAAATGGATAAATAAGTGTTCAATTCTTGAAATCAATCCACTAGAAATGCATTTCCCATGGAAAAAACCCAACCAAAGCCTCAATATGCCCAGGAGAAAAGGAAAAAAAAAAAGAAAGACAAGAAACAGTCACATATTACTTTCTTAGGAAACTATCCCTCCAACACCAAAGCTGTGCTCTCTCTTTTGGCTCCAAAGATCAAATGGTTTTTCCCACTCTTATTTATCGGATTTGTACGATTCCTGCACTGACCAATTTTTGGATCTTGTTCATCACGAGTGGGTTCTTCATGTGTTCTTGCGCAGCTTTCGGGTTCTCTTGCAAGTCCGACAGTACCTGCAGCATAACTCATAATTTAAGTCTCTAGTTTGCGGAAATTGCCATTCAAACATGGACTTTGATCCAACCACATCATCATACCTGGTTCATTACTGGATCAGTTAGAATGCTCTGGACTTCTGGATCCTGCATTGCCTTGGCCTGCACGTTGAGTTTGACCCCAATGTTAGTGCCAATTTCGCGACGTAAATTACAAGATGAGTTATTATTGTTTTCATTTATGACATAGGCCATAACAGGGTATTGAAACTTTACCTGTCTCTCCTTGAGCTCCTGTGGGGTTAGATCACCTCGGCTTGCTTTGTTTATTTGTGCAACACAGCTGTAGTTCAACACCACTCTCAGTTAATATCATCATCCAATGTTAGGTACTCAAGGAATAGTAGAAAAAGGAACACAAATGCTACAGATATGCTTGGTTTCACCTTGAAAAATGCACAAGAAAGTCATATACAAGATACTCTCTCCGTCCCAAAATACTAGTGTTATGAGACGACGAAGGGAGTATGATGTATCGTGTTTGAACAGATTTTCCAATGTTCCGAAAAGGGTCCCTAGTAAAAACTAAATATTTCAACATTACCTCCGCTCACCATCTAGTAATTCCGGGTTATGAGGGTCGAGCTTCAATCCCTGCTGGTAAGTTTCCAAGGCTTTGTCATATTCTTTCATGAAGAACTGCACGGCACCCTTTCTGGTGTAGCCCTTCACAAATGTGGGATCAAGCTCAATGCACTTTTCAGCATCTTTGAGCCCCTCAGGCAATGCCCCTAGCTTGGTGTAACTAGCAGCCCTATTGCTCAATGCCTAAAACAATAAAAAAAAAATCAGTACAATATGACCAGAACACACCTAGCAATTGAAATGAAATGCCAAATAAAAGCAAAAGGCAATACCCTGGGATCTTTGGGGTTCCTTCTTAGAGATTCTGTATAGCACTTGATGGCCTCTGGGTATTTCTGTTCTTTGAAGAATTTGTTACCTGAAGTTCAATATTGGGTAAGTATGAGCCATAAATAGCCAATAAAGAGAGAGCTGAGAAACAATGTTATACCTTTCTCCCGCTCCTCATCTGCAATCTGGGGATCAAAATATTCTTGCTGTTCCAACTCTTTCTTTGCTTTCTCGGCATCATTGAGCTTCTTCAGAGTGTCTGGATTGCGATGTTCCGTGAGAGCTTTCTGGAAGGTCTCGATTGCAGGGTCATAGTCCTTTGAGCATTTTGCCATCTTCACTAAAGCTGTCCCCTTTCTTGTCAAGGCCCTTGCAATCATTTTGTAATCAGACCTAAGCTCCCTTCCCCTCTCAACAGCTTGGTCACAATCTTTTATGCAATCCTCAAACTACAATTCATCAATGCAGATAAACATTAGCATTTCAAGATTAACGCAAGCAGAGTTGACAAGTAAAAATTGCAGTAACTAAACAACCCACGGGTTTATATTAACAATATAAAACATCATTACAAAATAAAGTAAAGATCATGACATGTGATGGCTTAAGTACGCAGTCACCACAGTACATCAACATATATTAATATAAAACATCAATAAACCCAAGCTTAACTCAATAATAGCTAGCATTTAATCAATATTGAGAATGTTGGCAAATAAAATGTAGAAATGTTCTTCAACTATCATCAAACTGAAAGCACGGATTAGAATCTTATAAGGGTGTATAATTAAGGATTTAAAAAAGAAAATAAAAATGAAATTATTGTAATTTGAATTGGAATAATATACCTTTCCCATTTCCAAGTACACAGCAGCCCTATTAGTGATGAACGAAATATCATCATTGTCGAGCTCAATAGCCTTAGAATAGTGTTGAATAGCAGTCTCAAAATCCTTCTTCTTATAGGCTGCATTGCCAGATTCTTTCTCCTTCAGCGCCTGAGCCTTCCGATCCCTAACCTCTTTCTCCTCTTCCGACAGCTCCATTGGCTCTGGAACGGGCTTTGGCTCAGGCTCTGGACGCTTCACCTTCACAGGCTCGGACTCTGCTGGCCTCTTCCTCTCCGGCGAAGCCTCCGGCATCTCCACATCGTCCTCTGGGGTCCTAGTCTGCAAATTCACGCCTAATAGCACCCCAAATGCCTGCATTACCCTCTGATCCTTCAAATAGAGATTCAAATTGTTGGGATTTTTCTGTATGTCCTGCATCATCTTCACGAAATCGGGCTGCTGCAAGTAGGCCCGAGTAGTCGGATCCCGGGTCAGCTTAACCCACATGTCCGGTCCAGAAAACGCGTCCCCCATGGGATTAGAAGACGGCCTTCTGGATCGAGCCTGAGCGGACTGCGCATCGGCCAGGCCGGATTTCAGCGCGTCGTTGTTCGGATCGAACTCCAAACCCTTCTTATAAGCAGAAACAGCCCCGTCGTAGTTGCGAAGTCCAAGGTGTGCCGCTCCGAGCCTGGAATATCCCTTAGACCAGTCCGGCTTGAGCTCGACGGTCTTCTGGGCGTCGGAGAGTGCGTCGGAGAAGTTGCCGAGGGAGGCATGGGCGGCGGATCTGTTGGAGTAGAGGACGTGATTGGACGGGGCGAGGTTGATCGCCTCCGTGAAGTGGCGGACGGCCTCCGCGTAATCGCCGGCGGAGAACGCCGCGTTGCCTTTGCTTTTAGCTTCTTCGGCCATTAATCGCTCCTTCTATCAACGCAAATTGCAGCAGGGGTTGAGAGGGGGGGAAAGAAAGAAAGAATGGGGTTTTGTAGCCTTAGGTTATTGCAAACGACGGGAGAGTTCTAGATTTCGTCTGCTCAATGGGGACGGGGTGTCTAGAATGTTCTTTTTTTAATAATACTCTTTACACTGATGATTTTATTTTCTTTAAAATATTAAAACATAAAAAAAAAATATTGATGATTTTTTTGGACGAAAGATAATACTTCTTTCGTCCTAAAAAGAATATCACAGCTCAATATTTAAAAATCATAGAAACTTTTATTTATTTGTACATTTTCATTTATTGTTTGATAAAATAAAATGTTGTTGTAATCTGTTATTTTGTAAAACTTTTGATGTATCTTTAAAATATGCGAGTATGAGTTTTACTTTCCATTTTTGTATTAATCTTTAAATAAAATAAAATTAAAAAATTTAAAATTTCATGTTTTATGTAATGTGACACTTTTTTTTTAAATGAGAAGAGTGATCCAAATTAGATACTATACCCACCTACTGGCCCATGTATACACATTAGACTAGTGGTAGAGGTAGAGGCAACCAAATCGTACATTGAGTCCAAGCCCAACCTAATAGAAAGGATTGAGAGTCCAAGCCCTTATACTGGACATAGAGAGTAGACTGGCCCGGAAAAGGGATGAAGTCCAGACCAAACCAAGCCCATCTAGAGTTGGGTAAGGGCGGGAGAGTACAAATATTTTCTCGTCTTCAATACAAAGACAAACTAGAAACAGAGCTCGCATTGGCATCTCAACTGGTCTCAAAAGTAAAATTTGGAACAAGAGATTAAGAATCAACTCTTACCACTGATAGTGTGGGAGCAACCTCTCAAAAAATTGCTCAGTTTTTATTGACGATTGAATCACCATGATTTTCATACTCTCACAATCTCGTCGGACAGGGGGTGAGGGGCGCCTGAGGAGAGCGACTCCATCTTTTGGAACAAGAAAAAGAGATGTTTGTCCATGCTCCAACAAAAAGAGATTGAGAATCTTTGGAAGTGATAGAAAAATCACTCTGAATCTCTTCTAATAAGACTCACAGATGTCAAATTGGAAAATAATTTTTTAACAAAAAGATTCAAAAATTCTACCGAACATGTATAGATACATAACAAATTAATTACCAAAACATGCATATGTCCTCTTTTTAGTTGACCGATCTTGATTTAAAATATTTTATTATAATGTCATTAATTTATTTGAAGATTGTTGAAAAAAATTAAAATATAAGGTATATAGTTAAAAATGATTATGTTTTAAAATGATATTAAAAAACTAGGAAACCCAACCCCAAAAGAAAATCCAAAAATCACAATTGAATATGAGAAAATAAAAGCTACTAAGTAATTTTTTTATTAACGGAAAATAAATGTATTAGCCAATGGGAAAAAAGTTAAAGAGTAACGCTAGAGGAAAGGGTTGAACCTTCGACCTTGTGGTTAACAGCCACACGCTCTAACCAAATGAGCTACTCCAGCTGGTTGGCAACCTCTTATCCTTGATATGTCTTTTTTTGTCAAGTAAAGTAAAAACACTTGTGATACATGCCAAAATGAATTCCCCAAATTTTGTGGAAAAAAATTAATATCTTGAGAAAGACTTCCTCAAAACCTATTGTCATATAGATCCAGTTTGGTGATTTTATCTTTCATTTACGGAGTATAAAGTAATTTCCACAACCTCTCCACTACCTCTTTTGAGCCTCGAATTCGTTACGTTGTTATACATACAAACAAAAGAGGTTATTGAAATTAGTTGGTATAAAGTTTATAAATATTCACATAGAAATCATAGGATAGAATATCTTAAGATCTTCAAATGATATTAGTGTCATATTATGACATCTACGAGTGGCGTTGGTAGAACTCTAACGTAATTGTGGTACTAATAAATATGCAATCAAAATAGAACTTGAACAATAAAAAAAACTCATCCAGGAAATACAAGTTGAAAGCTAAAGTTATTCTTGAACACTTACTAGTTCTAATAGTCTAACCAAGATCGATCATCTGATGAGTTACATTTCACTACTATTTGTAAGATCACAAAATATATAAACTACTATTGCACTCACCATTTCTGATTTGGATTGATTATCCAATTCATCGTTTTCGATTCAAAACGAGAGTCGTGTCTACTCCTATTCTCCTAATAACAAGCGTATCAATTCTTCGTTAGATCTTAACGTTGAGATGTTATTTGTAAGATGAAGCATTAACATAAGTTTCATAACCCTATTAAACACCTTCTAATTAACATTGATAATATTTTCAATTGTTTTCTTCTACGCTAGTGCTTCCTCAAACGAAAAAATAAATATAAAAATTTTTTTTTAAATAAATAAAAAAGGCCTTTTTTGGCCATGACAAGACTTCCTCATACATGTTACAACTATCACATCTACTTACTTATATGGGCCATCACATGATATTAGTATATGACGACCACTTAATTCTGGCGACTCTAGCTTCGGCGGTGGCGGCCGTCGTCGGCGGCGATTCTTGATTTAACGCTCTCAAACTCCGATACCCGGCAAGGAATCCGGATCCCGCCGGGCTGATCGAACCCGTAGACGGTCTCGGCCTGCTTCAACAGACTGGCGAAGAGAGGGTGGTTGAAGTAGACGACCGGCACCACCGCCCTACACGTGGCACCCTCCGCTTCCCCCACGTAAACCGCCAAGTGGCCCGCCGGCACGCCCTCCTTCTCCGGCTCCTGCCCGACCCGGACATACCACCACCGCCGGCGTTTCAGCGATCTGGCGGCGTTCCTCAAGAACCGCCGCCCCGAGCTACAGAGCCCCGCTCCGGCGGGTTTCTCCATGAGAATCGATCTGTAGTGGGTTGGGGGGGTGTGGGTATTTATTTATAGTCCGGATTCGGCGAGAGAGGTAGAGAAGTGTTTGGATTTCTCGGTGGGGAATTATGTCGAACAGGTTGAGGGTTGGGGGCAGAATGGGGAAATTAAAGAGCTGAGTGAGCTAAGAGAGAAGAAGAATGTGGGAGGGAATGAAAGAGAGAGAGTTAGAGGGAGGGAGGAGGTGCCATTTCTAGATGGAATGGAAGCAGAGAGAATTGCAGAGCTTCGTCTCTTTCATTTACTACTCTGCTAAATTACGTGTTTTACTAGCAATTTTCATACTCTGTCCCGCCCCGGCCCCCTTCAGCGACGCTATTCAAGTCACCATTTAGAGCCTCGGAGTTGGTGTAAGTAACGCCCCTTTTATAAGAACTAATGATATAGATTAATTTGGAAAATCATTTTAGTCTAATATGAAAAATTGTTCTATAAAGATTGAAATGGGATGAAGGAGTGATTAGCCATTGAGGTTTGGATATTTAAATTCTGTAAGATAGTTGGGCTTTGAAATTATGTATTCTATTTACAGTTTTTTTTTGCGATATATTATTATTATTACTGCTACTACTAAAGTATTATTATTACAACAAAGTTCTTTTAACCTTCAAATCCCAAAACAACTACAGTGCTTTACTGGTAAAATTGTTAATTCCTAACCTGCTAACTCTCTAACTCCCATAAATCTTATCTCCGAGATCATCGATTTGGCATCCTAAATCGTGGAATAAAGGAAATATGATGCGAATGAAGCTTGAGAGGCAGTGGAAAGGGGGAAAGGGTGTTTAGGAGAGTTAGACGATTGAAACTATTAATTTTATCAACGGACCATTATAGGAGTTCGTAGGAGTCCAGTAGTAATATGACTCAAAATTCTCAAGTCAAAAGAAACTTTCCGTTTTGTTGTTGTTGTTGTTGTTATTATTGTTGTTGTTTGTTAGACAATAATATTAAGTATTCCTAGTTATGGTAGATGTTGTATGTTAGTTAGTTTCCATTCTCTATTCCTAGTTGTGTTAGGAGTCTCTCCTATATATATACTCTATCATGTACTTCATAATTCAATGAGCAATATTATTATTTCTAATATTTCAACATGGTATCAGAGCCACCGCTCTTGGTGACAAAAAAAAAGTTCTTTGCTCCCACCGCCGCAGCCGGTAATTCCGGCGACGGCAACTCCCTCCTATTCACCTCTATTTTTTTCCATCTTTTATCCTCAAATCAACTTCTCCATTCAAATGAAAAAAAAAGAAAAAAAAAACTCCTGTTGAAATCACACAAAAAAACCATCAAAGGAGAAACTTCTCTCTTGTCATCTCCATTCTTCTTCGAAAAAAATCCAACTCCTCACAAACTCTCTCAACTCATCATATCTTCTCAAAAAAGAAAAAAAAGATTGTTGTTTCTCTCCAATTCACCATATCAAAATTTCAGACCCAAATCTCTCTTCCATCACCAATTCTTAACTCACTTTTCTCTCTCTCAAATCACTCATTCTAATCATCTGCCTCCCTTCTCTTTCTCTTTTGTTGAACCAATAAAAATCCAAAAAAAAACAACACAAAAGCAAAGCAAAAAGGGAAAGTAGTGAAAGAGGAAAGAATACATCTACACCCCTTAAAGAAAGAAATAGGGCATTGCCCGGATTCAAGAAAAAGACAAAAAATGTCAAAGATCTTCAGTCAAACAAGCACCTCAAGTAGCATTCTCTATTCTTCTTCGACGTCAGCAGCTACACGCGCACGTCAACCTTCTCTCTTCTTCTTCGACGTCAGCAGCTACCAGCACACATCAATTTCTCTCTTCTTGAACGATGTCTGCAGACTGCAGCTACCAGTGCACGTCAGACTTCTCTCTTCTCCAACGACGTCAGTAGCCACCGGTGCATGTCAGACTTCTTTCTTCTCCAACGACGTCAGCAGCCACCGGCGCACGTCAGACTTATCTCTTCTCAAAGTTTCTAGTTTCCAGTTAGTGTCCAAGCTTCCTCTTGCTTCAGCCAGAGTTCAGCTCGAGGGGATGTTAGACAATAATATTAAGTATTTCTAATTATGGTAGATGTTGTATGTTAGTTAGTTTCCATTTTCTATTCCTAGTTGTGTTAAGAGTCTCTCCTATATATATACTCTATCATGTACTTCATAATTCAATGAGCAATATTATTATTTCTAATATTTCAACATTGTTGTTCTTATTATTATTATATTATTATTATTATTATTATTTTGACTAAAGTACGGAGTACCTTTGACTTATTTTAGGGATTATTAATCCTTGATATAATATTACAAAAATTGGGGGCTACACCAAAGAGAGGATTAGAAAAAAATTCTTTGACTTCATCAAATCCCAAAAGTTGAAAATAATTACAAATTGAGTGGAGAAATGCACTGGGCCGGGTCAAATGAGGATTATCGTAATAGTTAGTTTTATAGAGAAAAAATTAAAATAAAAGTAAAACATGGAAAACATTTTCAAAATAGAAGTTTTATATTTTAATTTTAAAATATAAAAGACAATACCAATAATGTCAATATATGTTGTCACAATGCAAACTCTTATTTCAGATATAAAAACAAGAAAACCATATTGCAATATTTTCTTTATGTCTTACTTTTATTTTGAATGATTTATTTAATTCTATACTTAGTTGGATTTCACAATTCGTTGTTCACATAATTGGATTATGTGTTTTAATATTTTCTTTAACATGCTCCCTCCTATATAATTGGATTTCATAATTTTTGAACATTAATAACTCTATTACTATTGAGATATATAGTATTTGTTCATATATTTTCAACATATTAAAACTCATAGAATTATTGCCTCCACCGGAGATCGAACGACCTCTCTATCCTCTAATTGGAAGAGTCATAGCAGTGCTATTGGATTTCATAAATAGTTGTTCACATACATGTCAGAAATATTACGGAGCACTTTGTATTTTATTTTATTCCATTCTTAATGTAGGTAAAAATTATAATAAACATTTATTTATGACTGAAGGAGTATTATAGACAATTACCCTCATGTAATGGACGGCCGGGAGAGTATGCAAGGTGTACACTAACACAAGGTCACCAAACTCTTGGGCCCAATATAATATTTTCAGATGATTGTTATTCTAATAACTAGACATTTTTAAATTTAATATAAATTTATATTTTAATTTTCAAGTTGTTATAAAAGTAGCTATTTAAAAATCAAATTTAACACTAGTTTTAAAGTACTTTGTAACAAAACAAAATAGGGCTCAACACGTGAATTTTGCTTTGGATGAATATCATTTTTTCACATTTCTGGGTCATTCCTGATTACTTTTATTACTTTTGAGACATTCTAAATTTTGAGTGTGAACAATTTTTGACGAGGAGACTATATAAGAGCATGAATAATGGTGAGGCAAAAATGGAATGTCACACGCTGACGTGGAGCATTTCAACCAATAAAATCTAGTCTAGTCATCGAGTGGCACACGAGTGGAGTGACATGGCTTGCAATGACAAATCATTGTTTTCATCCCTTTTTTTCATATTTTTGCCATATTTGAATTATTAAAAATTATTTTACTTATATATTTTTATCATGAAAATATTTCTATTTACTCAAATAAATAATTTTTTATATATATTTTTAAATTTTTTTTGTTATGTACTCCATATTTTTATTTATTCCTTCATCTCAATTTAGATTATTATTTTAGAATTACGATGCAAATTAAATATCATTTTATTTAAAAATCATTATTTTTGTCAGTTTTTAAACTTTTTAAACGTTTTTAATTATTAAAAATTATTTTACTTATCCTATTTTCATAAAATAAGATGTATTCCTTTAAAAAATCTTTTTTTACAAAAAAAATTAAAAAAATAAATGGGAACACATTGACACGGTCATGACTTTCAAATAGAGGAGGAATGCTCTATCCACGCATGGCAACCTCCTTCTCCGTGCTGATCTGGCAGCGTGGCATCCCTCCAAACACGCCAGTGTTGAGGCTTCAAGCATTTGTATATGCAAACTGTCAATTTAGAGTACTATTTTATTGTAAATAAAGTATATGGTTTGAAGTTTGCTCTTCAATTTTAAATAGTTGACTCTTGAGACACTTTACTTTAATGCAGTGTTTGGTACGTACGAAGTCAATGGAAAGTTTTTTTTTCAAATAAAAGTAATTTTGTAAATTTTTTTGGGAGTTTGGGAAATTTAAATCAAGAAAATAATCTTTTGGTTAGCTAAAAATTAATTTCTCAAGTCTTAGAACAAGAGAAATAATCTCCCCTATAAAAAAAATAATTTGCAATGAATTCTTTTTATCTCTTAAGCAATGAAAACTAGAAAAACAATTTATCTGACACCTGGTTTTAAGAAATTCAGAAATTGTATTATTGACATGCTCTCATAAGAGCATTGGCAGCGGCGAGTGGAAAAAACGCCTCGCCCTGCCTTGAGAGGAGAGTTGCGATGCGCAACGGCAAGGAAGGAGAAATGCCGCGCGAGCCAAGGGACGAGTCACTCCCTTTGCGAGGCATCGCAAAAATCGCAGGCAATTGTGGGCTCCTTTGCGAGGCATCTGCGACCGTCTCTGTCTGCTCTCCACCCATGCCTTGCCGCTGTAAGCCATGGAACTCCACGGTGAATTTTGATTGGTTGCTAGATGCCACATCATCTCGTGGCATTCCATTTTAGACTTGGCACTGCTTATGCTCTAAGCACCCTTGCGTCTGCAAGTTACTTCTATTTTAGACATTAAAAAAATTATAAAAACCAATATAATTTATCTTAGAAAAATATTTTTAATGATATAGTGTTATGGAGTGGTGATCGAGTTGCTTGCTTTACCATTAGAACAAGATATATGTGAGTTGCTTAAGTGATTTTAGGCTCGTTCTTGAGATTTCTTACGCTCGGGCAAATAAAAAATGAATCTTACCGAGTATTACTAGCTAAAAGTTAACATATCTTTTTTTATTAAAATTGAAATGCAATACATATAGCAATAAATGTTTTGTATATAAAATTGTTTTGTACTTAACATTCAAATGTGCGAATATAATATTA